AATTAGTATTATTTAATATTGGTTTGATTTTTATATTATGCAGTCTTTTATATTAATAATTTAGCATTAAATATAATCTAAAAACAACCAACAACCATGTAGATTATTGTAGAATGTTGAACTCTTAGTTCTAGTGATTAGGGTTTAAATTCTGATAACCTTAAAAACTAAAAAAATATAATCTAAAAATATATATTAAAATGCATGTACATTAAAGTAGGAAAATGTAGCCAATGAAAAAAATATGAGTTTTCTAAAAAAAAAATTTTAAATTGATTATTTAATGGTTATTTGACATTAATAAATGTGTTGATTACAATCAAATTATTAGGTTTTTAACATATATATATATTTTTTTAAAAAAAAATTAATTTTAACATATATTTCTTAGATTGTAAATTTTTTTAATTTTTTTGTTTGATAAATTCGTAAAAAATTAAAAATTTTATTTTAGAATAAGTGATTGTCTAATCAAGAAACACTATTATTATGCTTGAAAATGTGAATTTAAAAAAGTAAATTTGAATTTTATTTGCTATATAAATTGTAAAAATAAAATATATGTAATATGTATAAATTAATAAAAATTCAATATAATTGTTGATTTAATTTGAAATATATAAAAAGATAAATTTCAAATTCATAAATACATATAAATATTTCAAACTCATGCTAAATGGACATTCAACAAATCCTTAAATTTGAAAAATAATAATGAAATAATGTTTATATTTATACATGTGCTTTATCATACATTTTACATTAATTTTAAAATCCAAATATCTTCTTTTAAATTTAAGGTACTAAACACAATATATGGGTTGTTGAAAAAAATAAAATATGCTCTCCAATTTTAAATACAATTATATAAGAAGACTTTTTATACTTTGATTTCAAATTAAAATAACTACAAGATATAAGTTTAGAATTTAAAAGAAAATTAATATTTTTAGAGACTTAATTAATTTAAATAATTTTATGAAAAATAAAAACCACATGCATCGTACAAGCCAAAAACTAGTTTATATTACTTTTGCTTCTTATCAATCAACACTAACAACATTTATCATATCATAACAACTAATGAAAAAATTATTAACCCTTGCAGATTTCAAGTTCAAAATGAAACCTATTAGAATTTAATGGTTTTCAATTTCAAATGAAGATTTTTAGTTTTTCATTTTTTTTTTTTTAAAAAAAGCATATACACTGCCAATGGACTGTTATATACCATTAAGCTACTAAAACCAAAACTAAAAAGGACAACATAAGCCAACAACTGAAAAGGACAATATAGGCAAACAATCAAACAATAAAACAAATAGGAGTATTTAACTATTTATGCTAACAAATAAAAATTGCAACAATCGGCACCTAAATTTTATGAGCAACAAAATGTTAAAATTCATTGAGACAAAAAATCAAATATTTTAATGCTTAACAAAAAACATTAAAAAAGAAAAAATCTATGAGAAAGAAAAAGAGAGGCCTAATTGTGACTTAACGAAGCTTTTGATGGGTGGTAACCTATTTCCTTCAAATGAAGCTTTTAGGAGGGAAATTATTTGGTGGATGGAAGCAACCCACTAGGCAAATAAAGCTATTCGTTTCCAATGTTTTTTTATAGATCTAAGACATTAAAGCCATTGGGATGGAACAAATGGATAATAAAGTTGTTAGGAGAGAATGGATGGACAAATTCCTTGGGGATAAAAGCTTGCTCAAAAGATAAAATTGACCTGACCCAACCCAAACCCATTTAAAAAAAGAATAATAACTTATAGGGTCGGGTTAGAACTTGACGGTTTCAAGATGATTTGCCATCTTTACTTGAGATAGAGTATCTTAAATTTTCTTTTAATATGTACTCACTTTTCAAAAAAATACAAAGCCCAACCTGACTCAATACTAATTTTTTTTATAAAAGCACTCATATTGAATTAAAATGAATTGAAACTCATCGAATACTATTATTTTGTTATCTTTATCAACCAATCCATTTGTTATAAAATTTATCTAATTAAAAACATAAAAAAATACAAAAAGAAACAAACTAATGAGGGACAACATAAACACTACCAATGGCGTTATTTTTTTATAAAATTTATCTAATTATAAAAAATAAATGAAAAAAATTGACTTATATCTTATTCAGCCAAATCAAAACTCAATGGATACGAATTGTTTTATCATCCTTATCCATCAGTACCTTTTGTTACAAAATTTATCTAATTAAAAAAAACTAAGTTGGGGTGTCACATGTACACTTCTATTAGTTGTTTTTCACACATTTTATCTAAATTAAACAATTGAAAAAAATTGAAAAAAAAAAAGAAACAAAAAAGCAAAAAAAAATGAAACATAAGGTGTCACGATACCACCTTGAATGAGGATTAAACAAAAATCAAAATAAGTAAAATTTATATAATTGATGGATAAATAGATGAATTACATCTTAATTATATGCAAATATAATATTTTTATTTAATTAAGATATTAAATAATAACATTATTAATATAATACATATATAAATATAAAATTAAATAAATAATTTAAAAAATAATTTTATAAATATACTCATGTCTTAAACTCAAGTCCAACCCGACCCTAATTTTAAAAAAGGAAAAATATCAATTCTATCTCGAATGTTTTAAAAATCTGCACATATTGGATTAAGAAAATTAAAACTCATGAGATATGGGTTGTTTTGTCATCTATATATCTATTAATTTTTTTTCTTACAAAATTTAACTAATTAAAAAAATAAAAACATAAAAATATAGGAAATAACGAAAAAAATGGAGATGTCATGTGGATTTATTAAATTAAAATATTAAATAATAATTTTATTTATATAGAGCATATATAAATATAAAATTAAATAAATAATAAAATACATAATCTATTTTTACCCTAAAAAAGCAAAACACTCTAAACTAGCATTTACCCGAACTACTATTTCCAAAAAAAAATCTTCATCCAACCCTAAATTTAAAAAAAAAAAAGAGCATATATTGAATACAAACTAATCGAAATCCATCAAATACAGGTTGATTTATCATCAATACCACCATTGACATTTTTCTTAAAAAAAAATTATTTATTAATTTTTTATTACAAAATTCATTTAATTAAAAAAATAAGAAAGGCAAAAATAAAATGCCACAGGTACACATATGTTGGTTTTCTATTGAAAAAAAAAAAGACGAAATGCAAAAGAAACTTTTTTAAAAAATCCATTTTTTTGTCCTTAAAAGATAAATTAAAAATATTTATTAAATACAAATAAAAAATATAAAACATTAAATATATATATATATATATCTATATCTATATAAAAGGAAAGATTGCAACAATGTGGCATCGAAAGGGACGTTGTGCATGTGCAAGATTTATACGTTAGACTACCAAGATATCCCCCGTTGCCGCAAGTCAAAACATTTTTGTTTTATCCTATCTACTTAATTGATTTTTTATTACAAAATTCATCTAATTTAAAATAAAAAAGATGAAAGGCAAAAAAAAAAAAAAAAAAAAAAAAAAAAAAAAAAAAACAGGAATGAGATGTGGTTATTTCAATCAGTCTTGTTTTTCATGAAAGTTATCTAATTTAAAAAATAAAAAACAAAGAAATAAAAAATAAGAGCACATAGAAGATGTAGGGACATTGCAATTAAACTTAAAAATATTATTATAATGTAAATAAAAATAGCTATAAGTATTATATGTTGTTATGGACCTATGGTCTTATTGAACTTATTCAAAAAATATATTTTTATAACATCTTACTTACATTTATATACTGACAAATAATTTAAAGTGAAAGTGAAAGTTGATTAAATATTTACTGTACATGACAAAATTATAACAATACATATCTTTTATGCATGCATTTAGTTTTACTCACTACTACACAAAAACAGATTGATTTAAAATGAAAAATATCGAATACATATATTATAAATCTAATAATAATAACAAATATCTAAATATATCCACGCATTACATAACATATAATAATAAATAAATAAATGAAATCCAAAACTTCATTGTTTTATAACATGCTTACATAATTTAAATGTAAGATAAAGAATAAGTACATGTTCTATATAAAAAATCTCAAGTTAATTTTAAATGAAATTTTGATTTTTAAAATTTTCATTGGAATGATCCTAATAATTTTATCTCATTTAAATGAGGATAAAGATTATAAATTATTTAACATAAAAAATTTGAATAAATCTATTTTTTTTAAGATTTAAAACATTTTTAAAATTTAAATAATCAAATTATTTAATAGACAACTACAATTAAAAAACTATCTTTAATATCAAAAATATAAATTATCCACATAGAATTACACATAAATAAACTTTACCAAATAATTATATATCCTATAATATAATATTATATGTGATTGCCAACTATTTTTTAGCATTCCATTTGATACTGTTGCAATAGGGATTATTTTTCAATATGAGTTGGGTAGGAATTTTATTAGTAATAGAATTTCATTAATAGGAATTTGAGAACGACTTTGTAGCTGCTAAATACGCGAGCAGGTGAAAAAATTTGTCACATAGTAGATTAAGAAGTAGCTCTTGGAGTTTGGGTACAAGCATCAATAAATTGAACTTAGAATTAGCATTAGAGTAGGTAATTCTAAAACTATTTATTTGTCATTTGGTACATTAAAAAAAATGTGTTAAAATGCTTTAGTTAGAGATTTTTTAACATAATAAGATATTTGGTTTTGGCATTTGCCCAAACTTTTATTTTTAGGCACTTCAACTATAAAATTAGGAGTAGGTATATCAGACTTGTTGAATTCCAACAAATGATGTTCATAGCTCACGAGCATTGACTGGCTTACCTTCTCCAAGCTCAATTCTCAACCATCAAGAGAGAACACTCATGCATGGGTGCATTGGTGGAAATATAAAAAGCAGCCACTCCATCAAAATTTGAGTATAGGAACTGCCTATTCATTGAGCAGGAAATGGATAGGGTAAAAGGCAAAGTTTGCGTGACTGGGGCTTCTGGTTTCTTGGCTTCTTGGCTGGTTAAGCGACTTCTCCTATCTGGTTATCATGTCATTGGAACAGTTAGAGATCCAGGTCTGTTTTCATACATCTTCAACGGCTTAATGCCTTATTCATGCCTTCATTTTAATTTGTCTAGTTATATATGGTCTGTGCATGGTGCAGGAAATGAGAAGAAATTAGCTCACCTCTGGAGGTTGGAAGGAGCCAAGGAGAGACTCAAATTGGTGAGGGCCGACCTATTGGAAGAGGGCAGCTTTGACGAGGCAATCATGGGGTGTCAGGGCGTCTTCCACACTGCTTCCCCCGTAATAAAACCTTCATTTGATCCCAAGGCATGTCATTCCGTTTTTGGCCTAATGGAGTACTACTTCTGATTTTTCCAAACAAAGATATTTACAATCAGTGAGACAAAAGGACAAAGGAATGCTTAGAATTATGTTACTTCCCCAAACAGTGCCGAACTAATTTTAGCAGCACCAATGTTACTTATTGGAAATCTAAAAGCTTGAGGTATTTTTTCCCTGGTTGTAATATTGTTTTCACTTTCCACATCAGGCAGAAATCCTGGAACCGGCTGTGAAGGGCACAGTGAATGTGCTACGCTCATGTAACAAGAACCCATCTCTGAGGCGTGTAGTTCTCACATCGTCTTCTGCAACTGTGAGGGCTAGAGATGATATTGATTCCAAAATACCCCTTGATGAGTCATATTGGAGCTCCGTTGAACTCTGTGAGACTTTGCAGGTAACATTAATTCATTTGAATTTGCTCAAATCGCATAAGTAGCTGACTGAGTTTGCCCCAAATTCGAAGTGTCTTGGTTGTTCCATAATCAAGTTTGGTTGATGGCTTGATGAAAATTCTGTCCATTATCTTCTAAATTTTTACAGTTTCTGCTAATGTTTCTTAAGATACATAAATAGCTGACAGTTTCTTCCTCAACATGAAAATGGGGTGCATTACAAAGATTTGGTATGCTTTAGCCAAAACCCAGGCTGAGAAGGCTGCATGGGAGTTTTGCAATGAGAATAAGATTGATCTGGTCACCATCCTTCCCACTTTCGTGATTGGACCGAGTCTGCCACCTGATTTATGTTCCACTGCATCTGATGTCCTCGCCTTGCTGAAAGGTATTGAAACTAAACAAAACCTTCTCACAATAAAACCTGGTGCATTTGGACCTTTCTGAAGCCTAGCTTCAAAGAACATTTCTTAGCTCTCACAGATAATGTAGTTTTATTTCTTTAATAATTATCAAGATTGGTTGACGTATTCATCTACACAAACAGGTGAAACAGAGCAATTTCAGTGGCATGGGAGGATGGGATATGTTCACATTGATGATGTTGCACTTTGCCACATCCTTGTTTACGAGCATGAAGCTGCAAATGGGCGATACCTTTGCAGTTCAAACGTGATCGACAACGATGAGTTGGTATCAATCTTATCCGCGCGTTATCCATCACTCCCTATACCAAAGAGGTTTGCTTTTCTCAAGTCACCATAAACAAAGCTAATGAGCATAATAAAATTGATTGCTTGGCTAAGTTTGTCTAAAAAGTAAAATCTTTTTTATTTCAATTGAATCATTTATTATCCAAGTGACAGAAGAACCACTAGGTTATTTGATAATGGCCTGTATTAAAAAGAAAATTCATGGTCAATCTTATAGTGTTGTATTTTTTTTATTTGAAGTGATAAAAGATTGAACCATGATTATAAAAAATCTAAATACTTTATCAATAGATCATATGATAGTCGGTCAAATAAAAGGTTTCAAGTATTGTTTTATTTTGCATCTTTGTTGTTTTATTGTTACTCTTACTTTCAAAGATTGTTAGCCTATTTAACCTATTGATAATGATTCTAGCATCTGAAAAATTTCAGGTTTGTGAAACTAGACAGACCATATTATGAACTCAATACCTCCAAGATAAAAGGTTTAGGATTCAATTTCAGGCCCATTGAAGAAATGTTCGATGATTGCATTGAATCACTGGAGGAGCAGGGCCATCTCTCTCTTCAGTCCGGCTATCAGAAGCCACTTTGTTAATCTAAATTAGCAATTTTAATCTGCTACGACTTCTCCAGCTTGCAGTTTGATGATGTTCCAAGTTCAAATGAAAATGCTAGAGGAAAAGATTGGCATTCTACTTATTAAGCCTTTATTTTTGGGGAGGAATAGGAGAAGTGCATTTAATTGTGAGGAATGAGCACTTTATCACTAGTCCTTAATTTAACTTTGAGTTTGTTACTTTTTTTTAGTTGATCACTCTTAAATTCAATACTAAATTCTGGATCTAACATTTAGAAATCTTTTCCACTAAATTATAGCAAATAGGTGTAGTACTTACATAGAATTGGCCAATATCCAAAATAAAAATAAAAGTAACTTACAATGTCTAAATAATAAATCTTTTTTATGTACGGTCAACAATTATCTTTTCTGTGTGCCACGTCTTACACTTGTCTTCTTTTTTTTTCTTTTGCTTTTTATTTTTTTTATTTTTCCCATAAAAAGTTTTATAGATTTCTCTAAAATTTTATAAATTTTTTTTAAATTTTGATTTAAAATTTTTAAGGTGAAACCCTCTTTACCAAGTTTTTTTCTTTTTACTATTTTTTCCCTTAAAGTCCATCTTAAAATTTTATAAATATTTTTTTAATTTAATTTAAAATTCCTTTAAGGTAGGATCCATTTTATCAAGCTTTCTTTTTCTTTTTTTTTTTAAATTTATTCATCTGTTAGATAAATTTACAAAACTTACCCACATAACTGCCAATTTTTTTTTAATTCTTTTATTTTTTAAAAAACTTTGCTTTTACTTTTTTATTTTTTCCTTTTTCAATTTTTTATATTTAATAAATATTTTTATTTAAAATTTTTAAGGGTGAGATCCACTTTATACCAATCTTTTTTCTTTTTCTTTTTTTTTTTACTTTTTTTTATTTTTTCTATTATTTTTCTTTGGAAGATTTTAATTTTTTTTGTGTAATTCACTTATATCAAAGGTATGTCCCGTGTTAAACCATATGCTTCCTTTTTCTCTTTTTTTTTTATCATTTATCTATTTATTTTTTCTTTCCTTTTTCCTTTTTTAATATTTCATAAATATATTTTTTAATTTTTTTAATTTTTAAATGAGGTCCATTTGATATTTAAAAAAATTTTTCTTTTTTTCTTTTTTATTTGATAATTTTAAAAAAATATTTCAGAGGTATCGTCATTACATCGGGATTTATTTTTTTTTATTTCAATCATTTTTTTGGTTTTCCAAATTAATGATATAAATATATGTTTTATTATCCATTCAATTTTATATTTATATATATTATATAAATAAGATTATTATTTAATAACTTAATTTAATAAATCCATGTACCATTCTCATGTGGTTTCCTTTTCTTTTTTCATCATTTATTTGTTTATATTTTAAATTATCCATATATATACAAACATTCCATAGGATGTCACGTAGCACTTCAATACATTTTTTTAATTTTTATCTATTTTTCTTTTTTAATATTTATTCAATATTTATATATTTTAAAATTTTTATATGTTGGACTCATTTGACATTATTAATTAAAAATTATATTTTTCTTTTTTATTAGTTTTATCTTTTTATTTATTAGGTCGATGGGTTTCAATTACTCTAAATCAAATAGGTGCATTGTTTTAATTTCTTATCAGACCAAGGTTTTTTTTCAAAAATCCAAGTAAGGTCAGATGTGAGTTTAGGATACTCTCGTCCGGTATATATAAATATATATTTTTTAATATTGTATTTATATATGTATTATATTAATGAAAAAGATGGATCAACTTGCACAATGTAAAAACTTTTTAGTTTTATACATTTTTTAATCATTGACTTTAATAAATCTAAGAGATAAGATTAAACAATTTTTTTCTATTTTTACTTGTTTCTCTCATTCTTTTGATCTATTTAAATCAAGGGTTAGAAGAATATTTAAATCAATCATTGATTTTAATAAATCTAAGAAATAAGATTAAATAATTTTTTTTTATTTTTACTCGTCTTTCTCATTCTTTTGATATATTTAAATCAAGGGTTAGAAGAATATACAAAACTAAAAAAGTTTTACACTATGTAAGTTGATTCATTTTTATTAATAAAACTGTTATTTAATATCATAATTTAATAAATCTATGTTGCATTCCCATATGGTTTCCTTTTCTTTTTTTTTTTCTTTTGCTTTTTTTTTTTTTTAAGTTTTTGACTTTTTTAAGCTAGATAAATTTTGTAAGAAAAAAGGCAACGCGATGTGAGGATGGCAAAACAACATATATTCTGTAGATTTTGATTTGCCCCAATTGAATATGTGCGAGTTTTTTAAAATTTTGACATAAAGTTGAGATATTTCCTTTTTTAAAATCGAGATCAGGTAAGAAACGAGTTTAAAATGTTTTATCTTGCCCTTATTATCTATATATGTAATTATATTTTTAAATATTTATTTAATTTTATAATTATATATGTATTATATTAACAAAGTTATTATTTATTATTTTAAATTAATAAAAATATTATATATATACATAATTAAGATATAATACATTTATCCATCAATTATATAAATTTTGCTTATTTTTATTTTTGTTTGATCCCATTCAATGTGTTGAGATGGCACCTTATGTTTTCTTTTTTTTCAATCTTTCAATTTTTTATATTTTTGTTTCTAATTTAAATAAATTTTGTGAAAAAAAAAAATCAATAGAGTTGTCCATGTAACACCCTAATTTAGTTTCTTTTTTTTTATTTTTTAATTAAATGAATTTTACAACAAATTGAGCCAATGGATAAGGATGGAAAAAAAATTTGTATTCAATAGGTTTTAATCCAACTCGATCCACTAATAAGGTTTTTTTAATTTTTTTTTTTTGTTAATTTTTTAAAATAAATTTTATAAGAAAACAATAGTAATAAAGGTGTTCACATAGTATCTTCATTTGTTTATTTCCATTTGTATTTTTTGTTTGCATTTTTTGTGCTTTTTAATTTGATAATTTTTATAACAATATAAACCAATTAATAGAGATGGCTAAACAATCGATATTCAGTAAGTTTCGCTCATCTCAATTCGACATGGCCCTTTTTTTAAAAAGTGAGCATTAAATCAAATCGGATTGGTTTTTATTTAATAAAGCAAGGACAGATCATAAACGAACTTTAGAGTACATTACCCCAACTCATCATGCGGTATATATAAAAGTATTTTTTTATTTTTTATTTATTTTTATATTTATATGTGTATTATATTCTTAAAATTATTATTCTATACCTTAATTTTAAGATGTTAACATTTTAAATTTAATTTGAATGTTCACATGAGATCTTAACAATCTTTTTTTCTCTTTTTTGTTTATTTTTATTAATAAAATTATTATTTAATACGTTAATTTAATATATTACCATTTTAAGTTCAATTTGAATGTCATATTGTACCCCAATGAGTTTTTTAACCTTTACTGTTTTTTTTTATACTTTTTACAAAAACGAGTGATATAAAAAAAAATTAAAATTATGACCTAACATAAAATTTTTTTTGGCATTTTCATGCATCTTATCCTAAAATTATGAGATACAAAACTTAGTTTGTTATTATATACTTTTTAATTAAATTAATTTTGTGAAAAAAAAAAAAACCAATGGAAGTGTCTATTAACACCCTATTTGTATTTTTTTTCATATCTTTATTTTTTAATTAGATAAATTTTATAATAAAATATATTAATCGATATAGATGTCAAAGCAATTCGTATTTAACGAGTTTCGGTACATCTTAATACGATAAAGAATAATTTTTTTTAATTAAGATTGAGTTGGGATGTGTCATATTTTTTGAGAGCAACGAAATTGAGATGAAAACAAGTTTAAGATTTTTATCCCAATCAATTTCGTGGTATTATAAAAAACTATATTTTATTATTAATTTTATTATATATATGATATTAACAAAGCTATCATTTGATATATTAATTTAAGAATTTAATATTTTAATCTCAATATGGGTATCCATGAGACATTATTTTATGAGCTTTTTTATTTTTTTTTTTTTTAGTTTTTAATTACATAAAATTTATAAGAAAAGGAAGGCAAATTGAAATACTTGCGCATTACCCTCAATGAGTTTTTTTTTTTTCACATTTTGTCTTTTTTATTTTTTTAATTAAATAAATTTTATAATAAAAATTAATAAATAAAAAAATATAATAAAAAATCTTTGACCCGATGAGTATCATGCCAGTTATTTTTGACATGCAAGAGCAAAAAAGTGCACGAGTAGGACGCGTGAAAGTAAAGGTGTGAGAGCAAGGTTTCTTCGTAGACACATGTCACGGTCCGCGCGTTTTTTGTCTTAAAACCACGCGTCCGTATGACACCAAGATTACTCCTAGTTTAGATCAGTCTTTCGTGAGTCCATTTTTTTTTGGACAGCTCAATTTCAATCCTTCAAGTCGTATACACAAAAGTCTTTTTTTTTGTCTTTGACTTCGTAGGATTACTCATTTCGAACTCTATAAGGAGGAACTCAACTCCTATCACTCATCAATCTACGATTCTCAAAGTAGCTCCGAACACTCATCTCTGCCCGCAAGACTTAAGGTCTCGAGCACCGACCCTCGAATACCCGTAAGGCACGCAGCTCCTGATCTCATAATATTATTACTTCTTAACATAGTGAGAACTCAACACCATACCCTCTCGTATTGTACGTAAACTCTCGTATCAAGTTTATGCAAGTGCCACACTTAAGCTGGTCAGTAGTCAGCTCGGAGCCTTTAGGCTCATCTCATCCCACGAGACTCAGTTATTAGGGCTTAGGCTCTTAGCTTAAGTGTAGGTTACCCGCACGCATGATTGACGCCCAACATCATGCTAGTCCCGCAAGGGGGACTTAGGTGAACTGCTTCAGTTGTAGCACACCTCTACCGATTGGCCACAAGGGTCTAGCAGCGTGCTTGCCTGCTGGCTTGATGGAGTCCCTCCTATGCAAACACCATCTCATGATCCTTCTAGCTCAAGGAAGGAAAACCGAGGGGCATAACGAACTCTATCGTATAACCCCATGGCTCAACGTGAATGTGCGATACGAGGCCCGTCGGCCCTAACCGCCCCCGGGTTTACCATGACCCAAGGAAACATCGTGTCACGCTCGTGACCTTATGATGCCCGTCCACCTAGACACCACTAATGCCTAGGAGTAACTCACTTCAGACTAACCAGGTTCTTGCTTACCCGCTAGCCAAGGGGGTGGTGGAGAGCTGACATCAGTCATTCCCCTATAAAGAGTGTAAAAGATTTTTTCGTCTCCTACAAGTAACCGTAAGATTGTCTGAAATGATGACACTTTTCTTTCCAGCCATCTCAGGGCCTTTCTTCGACTAACTCAGGGCCCTATAACCTTTCTATTGGTCACCATTATTCATTGATTCTACTTGTTGCTCCACTAGCCCATTCGAAGGTACCCGCACACGACTTTGACCAACAGTACCTAACTGGCTAGTTGGTCCTAGGGCATCGACGCACTGCCTCACACTTACCTGCGTATCTTGGGGTTTAAGGCTCAAACTATCCACACACAATATCTTTAACATATTCTCATGCTCAGAATATCCGCACACTACTTCCACTGATGGCACCCATCGGCTATTTGTCTTGAGGATGCTTGACCACTGTCTCGAACTTACCCGCATATCTTACGGTCCAAAAGCTCCTACTACCCATATTACATATTAGTAACATATTCACATGCTTCAAATGTATGCCCGCATATCTTAGAACCACTTTTTCGTCAGCTTAATCTTGACCGCTGTTCAATTCAAGATCAATCATGTCAGGATCAAGGCACACCAAGGCCTGACCATGACACCACACCTATCACACGGTTTTTGTTTTTGTTTTTTTTTTTTTTTTTGTGTTTGCTAGTTATTATTAAGATCCAATAGCAAAAAAGTGCAAGAGTAAGACGCATGAAAGTGAAGGTGTGAATAAAATCTAATCAATTCAATTCGAATTGATATAATATTTAAATTTGATTTGAAATTTTACATTAAAAATTTGATTTAAATTTAATTAAATTTATTTTTTTAATTTAAGTTTATTTTGATATAAAAATTAAGTTATTCAAATTAGTTATATTAAATTTAATTAATATATAAAAAAATTTTAATTTTTATATTCGATAGAAATTCAATTATTTATATTCAAATTTAAGTTCGAATTTAAAATATTTTATTAATTAAAATAATAAAATTATATTAAATATAAAAATTTGATTAAACTCAAAAATAATTTAAATTAGATATAAAAATATTCGAATTCGATTTAATTGATGAATCAAATAATTCAAACTCAAATTAATTTGATAATAATTAAATTAAATTTAAATAATTTATAAATATTGATATATCATTTATATCTTTTAAATGTGAGAGCAAGATTTCTTCGTGGTCTCGCTCGTGGGTGAGCCACAGGCCACAGCTACCACACGGTTTTCTTTTTCTTTTTAAATAAAGCCACCACGATGCCTTTAACAACCCACAAAGGTCAAAAACCATATAAACGGAAAAGCATGAGATTTAGTCACTGATTGGATTCAATCAAACTTTTGATGCTACAGGGTTAAATTTATCACATTATTAATTAAATTTAAATATTCGTTTTAATAAAATTTATTTAATATAAATTTTTATTAACTTTTTTAATTATAATTATAATTATTATTTTTAATTTCACCACTCATCTAAATAAAACTTTAAAAATCAGTTTAATGTTGTTATTACCATCGAAAAAATTTTGAATTGAAAAAAAAGAATTTTTAATTGAAAAAAAATGATATTATCATTAAAAAAATTTTAAGTAATTAAAATATTTAAAATAATAAAATATAAAATATAATAATTCCAGACGTACTTTTTTCGGCAAAATACTTCAACTGTTTTTTTTTTTGTTTGAATTTGCAAATAAAAAATTTAAACTAGAAAATTATATTTTTTTGTTATTTAACATTGAAATTGAAAAAAATAATTTTTAAACGTAAAAATTACTTTGAAGTATAAACTAAGCCCAAGTGCGGCCGCACTTCTGCCACATGTGCAACGTAAACGCCGATGACATCCCGAAAATCACCAACATCGATCTTCCCTGTTCTTTCTGTTTTTAACCAAAAAAAAAAAAAAAAGATTGATATGTAGGTCGCCTCTGGATCAATACCGTCAAAAAATCTCTGAATAGGGTTCTAGCACCATGCCAAAAGCGACAAAGAAGAAAAGCAAATTCAGTGCGTCATCACAATTAAATCTATCTACCCATAGCTCAAGGCCAAAGCATCATCCTAGCATACCTCTTAGCCAATGCCAATATAAGACAACAATAAAAACATCAACTTCAAAATGAACAAAAATCAACAAGGCCCGTCGCATGTTATAGCCAACAAATTCACACTTGAAACCAAAATGCATAACCATATACATAATATAATATGTGCGATATGAAGAGCTGTAAATTCTACAAAAATCCCTTAGATCTACATTCATAACACACAAATTCGGTTCTCAAAATGAAATTCAAAAAGAATTTAGTATAGATGATACTCCAAATCAACCAAGACAAACAGCGGTGACTCATAATAACCTACTTCGTGGCCTGTGCAATTATATTGCTAATCGAACTGGCCTGTTCTTTCGCAGTCTCCACCAGTGAATCCTACAACTCAATAAAACAATTCACTTAGAAAATTGGAAATTATCATAAACCACAGACAATTTAACAATGAAAAAAATTCTACCTGTGCAGCTATTAAACGTGCAACAGTTTTCTTGCTTGACTCTTGAAGTTCACCAGCAATCAAGAGTTCATCCAATATATAGTAAGCCTTCAAGGTTAAACAGCAACAAAGAGTTAAGCAAAGGTCCTATTTCAAAATCCATGATCTATAATGATAAAATCAATGCTATTTACTTACTGAACAAATTGGGAATGACCATTTATAACATAAGTCATTTATAAGAAAAAAGGGTAAACTACAAAATCAACACCCTCAAGTCTATATCAAAATTACACATGTACCTCCTATTTTCAGAAACCACATTTTCCTCTAAAAATGGATACAATTATTTGGACACCAATATTTTGCTGACATCATGATCAAAATTCACAAGCTGATAACATAAGCAACTTGTTTGGAAGACCAAAAGAACCCACATGTAAATACTAGTCCATTGCATCATGAAGGAGACAGATGCCAAAAACCAAAAGAATTACTATATTTTTTTAGGAAAATAAAAAAAAAAAAAGAAAAAAAGTCCTTTCTCAGATATATCAGACTCTGCAATCCTCCATATGAGCAGCCAACCAATAAAAATCTCAACTACATAATGCCAATCAACAACCACAAGGTTAACATTCCACAAGCCCTTTTTTGGGATTTATTAAAAAAGTCAAAGAAAATTCACAGTGCCATACTGGAAGAAATGCACTTGAACCACTCAATTGACAGACATCAATTCAGAGAGATACAAGTTAGGTGCTTCTTAAGGATAATTGAGACTGCAGAACATCAAGAGATACCCAGGTATGGGAGCAAGTACGGAGAGTTTAGATTTTATGGTTTAAAAAATACACAATAGAAGGAAAGGAGGATATGATTGGGTATGTTTAAGGGATGAGAAGAATGGAGAGTTAACAAAGTGGGAAGGGGGGGTAAGTGCTGCTAAAAATTACACGAATGAAAGCACAATTTCAACATAAACTCAAAATGTAAATTGCTGTAAAAGAAAATCTCTTGATGAAAGAGAACCCCTAACCACAGGTACATGAGAAGCATAACAAATGTACCTTATGAAAGTTGAAGATCAAGTCCAATTCGCAGACCTGGATATATATTAATTCATAATCAGATGAAGATATAAAGGGGTCATTAATACTCGCATAAAAGGTCAAGTTTAAGTTAACTCACACTGCCAAAGTATCGGTCAAGAATCTCAACATAGTGATGAATAATTTCTAGAATCTCTAATTCATTGTCATCCTGGTCAATGCACATGCAGAAGTAAAGACTAGCATATCTGCATAATTTAACCCAATTTAGTTGATAACCTTTCAAAAAGGTCAAATAGATTCATACTGAACAAAGTCTCACTAACATATTATAGCATTACCTTTTATAAACGACTTTAAATCCTCTCCATTCAACAAAATTACAGAGTTTGGGCCCTCTTGTGAGAATCACTCCACTGAGCTCACGGATAACCTTCACAAAATGCATTGTCATAAAGCATTAATACCATGAAGGCAAGACCAGCTTAGAAAAAGTATCAACAAAGTACTAAAGGCAAAAAGCTGACAAAGAAAAATGCACCCGGATCTTATAAAGACTTTACCCTTTAAGGTGAAAACTTTGCATAAATAATCAATGAATTTAACCAAATGAGCTAGTCATACCTTCGTTCTTTCCTTCTGAGAATAAGGAGAATACCATTTTGTCAACCTAACTTTCCCTTGTCGACTAATTAGAAGTACAAAGTGAATCTGAAACACAAAAAGGCTCATAGATTACATATAGAAGCAATACAACAACCTATAGTGAGGCTTGATTTTTAAGTTTCTAGAGTAAAATTAAAAAATTAGAACGGAATAATACTAGGAGGATATATATAATATAAAACTGTGATAATTGAATCACAAAATGAATAAAAATTCGCTCTTAGCTAGCACTATGAGAGCTGACAGTCACCCTATATAACATGTAACTTTTGCAATATTAGCATAAAAGCATTTTAGTCCTAGAGAATCTTCAAGAAGCCCTAAATTCCAGCACCTAATGTAAATTATATGAATTAGTAGTTCCTAGACAGGATTCGGATTAATAACATGTTACTTAGTCATCCTCTTAGCCTGTGCTTCATGGCCAATTTTTTCAATAATTAATGTATACATCATGACATCTCCTTTATATATCAAATAATTTCATCCCCACAATTACTGGAAAAAGAAGAGCAAAATGATATCTTCAATATGCATAACAAGTTAACACATAACAGAAATCTTTGTAACAGTTGCAAACAGAACAATTTCATAGAAATCACTAGAACTAACAACTAACTAGTCAACCTTGAATATTCCAAAATTAACCATTAAACCGAAATGTTTAAGTACGATCAAGTATGATGAGAAATCAGAACAAAATTTCAAGCAAATAAGTTGAAATAAGGAAATAAGCTGGATCTAATAATGAATCCGAAGAACTATCAAAATGAACCAATTACAATAAACTATAGGAATACATAAACTACCGATCAAAAAACAAACAGTTGAACCAAGTCGCAGATCCAAAGAAAAACGAGGAGGCGCAAAGCTTAGATTCAATCGACTACGGCAAAAAAGGGATTTTAAGATCACAAAAACATATATATATATATAACAAAATTCATGATTCGCCGAATCATGAATATAAACAGCGCCAAGAAGCAGGAAAAACAGATCCATTATTTGGATCAGAAAATGAGGAAGAAATTCGATTATAATTCACCGAATAATCATAACAACACGATCAAAATATGAAAAAGAGAGTTAGTTTACCATCGTTGATCTTGGCCAGCCGTGAAGTAAAAAAAAAAAAAAATTGGGCTGTCAAAAAGCTCAGAAACCGGTTTCCGGATTCAGAGTTGTGCCGCTGAACCGATTTTATCGTTATATGAACAATTTAATTCCTTTAAAAAAATAAAGAAAAAGTAAAAATTCTAATCCTGAGCGGGTATGAGCAGAGACTATGACCCAACCTAAAATGAGAAGCATCTGATGGAGTGATGGCCCAATATTTCCAATTTTTTTCTGATAAATCGCCGAGAAATTAAAATGATTAATGTCATGCTTAGTTATAAAGTTATAGTAAAATATTTAATATAATAATCAAATTTTAAAAATTTTAAAAAGATATTTGGATTATATAATATTTGAAGAATTATTTATACCTTATTTATTATTATTTAAAATTAATTATATTAAAAATAAATATATTAATTAATAAATTTATAATTCAAATATTATATTAAAATTTTTAAATTTTAAATATTATATTAAATATTTTAATATAATTTAAAAACCATTGTGTTAACTCAATTTAAAATTTTAAAATAAAATTTTCACTACTTTCTGTTCAATCCAATCAATTTGAATGTGCACAATCTAATGATTCAATTTGAATAAAATAAGTTGTTATTGATTTAATTTGCTTTGACTCGTGCGTGTAATCTTATGAAAGCAAAATTTTGAAGGCTGATAAAACAACTTCTTGGACGGTCCATCAAATTGGCAGATCTGAAATAATACAAATTATCACTTGCCATCATGCACCTGCCTCATGCCATTTGAAATAATACAGTCACCCTTTTGTTTGTCGATTATTCAAACAAAAAGAAAGAGAACCAAGGCAATCATATATATTCGTACATGTTGATAGATTTTGTTAATAGTTATATGATTTGTAGAAAAAAATATTAAATTTTTAATTTTAATAATAAGATCAAATATAATGTAAATACAAAAAATATGTTCTACTATTATATATTGAATTCCCACTCCGTTGACTTGGATGTTTAGCCGTCTTAAAGTTATCATCATAGGACATAATGCCATAATTAACCTTTTCCTAACTAAACTGAACCACAGCTAGGACAAAAGCAATTAGTGACTCTTCATTTTACTGTAATGGCTTGTATAAATCAAGAGGAAATAAAGAAAAAAAAAAAGAATTGCAACTATTTCAATATATTATTTTTTTTGTATTTGAAATGCACATATCTGCTCTGAATTTTACATAAAATAGTGCCTCCAATGAAAAAAATAAAAAAAGAAAAAGAAAATTAAAATGAAAGCCAAGAAGAAAGTAGGTTGGAGGTGGTTTGTGGACTATCGGTTCCGCATTTTGTATGAGAAGAATTTGTATTAGCAAACAAGAAAGACCTGCAAAGTGGGCAGGTGAATTGATCACGGTCCAGCCATTTCTCAATGCAGTTCATATGGAACAGATGTCCGCATTTGTGGAGTTGGCTCACAACGTCTTCCTTCTCGAACTCCACCAAGCAAATGGAGCACACTTCCTCTACTTCTTCTCCGTTTGTACTTCCTCTGCTGCCGTTAGAAAGTTTCAAATCTTCAAACCTTGCCACCGGTAGGCAAACATTCATCACCTGGCAGCTCTCCTCTGCTTGATACCATGGAAAGACAAAGCCAAGTACCCTGAGAAGAGCTTTCTTCAGCTGAAGATATGGGATCCACACACAAGTGTAGAAAATAAGGGCAGCAGTGGATAAATCCGAGTTAGAACACATTAGAGAAATCATTTTTTCCCTTCTGCGATGGAGTTCTTTCTTTTTTTCTGGTATAAGGTGGTGGTGTCTGAAGGTAATAGTTTTGACATGAAAATTGAGGGATGTTCATCCCTTTATATACCGAAGAAGCTCAAAGGGTCAGCGACTTAATTTCTTTATGTTGGAGTAAAAATAACATGCAAGTGTTCCCCAGTACTCCAATTTCTCGCAGAGATTTGACTTTTGGGGAGGTTCGTTTCATCCTTGCCAAAAGAATATTAAAGTGTTTGAAAAAACTTATAATATAGAAGTCGTGTTTTTTTAATTGCGTGGGTGGTTATCGAACTCTGAATTTGGCGGGGGTGCAGGGCCGGCGCCGACCCCACATCCCCTGAGTCTTCCCTTTAGTTTATTTTGGATAAAAACATATTCATGTTTAGAAGCCGCGCTTCCAGCCAAAGCAAGAATTCCAGTAATAAATTAATCAGCACATAAAATATAAATTAACTATATTATAATCATATGATGTACGAAATAATTTTATTTATTTAATATAAATATATATTAATTAGTTTTTTTAAATTTATATATATTGACTTATCATTAAAAAATAAATTTTCTGAAAACAGCAAAAAAAATTTTTATCTTTCCTTTAGATATTTTTATTTACAATAATATTTATAAATATGTAAAATTATATCAAATAAAAATAAATTATATCTTTTTTAAAAAATAAAATATATATTATTAAATAATAAATTAAATAATAAAAGAAGTATTAACACATTTTCACTTTAGTAATCTTGACTAAATTATTATACAATATATGAAAAATATGTGAAAATATGTGAAAAAAGAAAAAATAAATTAAAAAAAATTATTTTTCATAAGAATGAAACTATAATAACAATAAAATATATTTTAGAAAAAATTTATTAACAAAAAAAATTACAATAGTAATAGAATATATCTTAAAAAAAGTTACTTAAAAAATAAAATATTAATATATAACACGTCTTAAATTTGTAGAAGAATTTTTTAGTGACAATTAAAATTAAATAGATAATTTTTAAATTTAAAATGAATATAATAAGTGATAAAGATAATATTAAATTTTTTGCATTTATTTGAAATATAAATTTTATAAATAGAGTTCAAATGGATATAATCATTTTTTATGATCGTATTATTTAAAGATTTAAGATGAAAATTTTTTAAATTTTCAAAATCTTATATAAAATTATTTGAATTTTTAATGTCTTACGTAAATTTTTTAAAAAGATAATTTGTTAAATCAAAATTTTAAATCAAGATAAAAAATATTGTTGAAAGATTTGGATAAACTTAATCTTTGTAATTTTTAAATACATTTGAAAGATTTTAATAATTAAATAATTTTTAAAATAAGATTATTTGGTAAACAACTAAAATTATTTATTAAAAAAATAAAATCCATATTTTATATTTTTAATTTTAAAATATATATCTCTAAATTGATTTAATTTTCAATTATAATTTGAATAACTTTGATATTTGAATAAATTAAAATTATTTAATTTGTAATTAAAAAATATTATCTTATTTTTTTAAAAAAATTATTTTATGTATTATTTAAAAGAATTGTTCATATAAGTATCTATGTAACAAATTTATTTATGTATGTTGTTATATAATATATATATATATATATATATATATATATATTAGATCCGTTAAACAAAACTTTTAAGTTGAACTAGATTCAATAATTTTGAATGCATATAAAAATAATATATAAGTTTAATAAGTATAAAATAATATTTTTGTATTTGACATATGAATACAAATAATGATATAATAATTTTTATATTATATATATATATATTAAATACAAATTAAATAAATATTAATATACAAATTATTAAATCTACATCCAGCCTTTTCATGATAAGTCTTTTGTGCTTTCAGACGAGTTTTAAAGGCTCATTTCCTGCTCAAACCTACAAATTAAGCCCAAACAAAAGTTGGTTAGGCTTATAAACAAGACCAAGTTGACAACAGATTTAGAAGGTAAATTCCAGTTCTAGTTTAATTGTTGAAAGACTCGTCGTAATTTATGTAGAGTTGCTCGCGCCAAGGTCGTCTTTCCCTATAATCTACTGCTCAACTTGCAGATGAAAATTCGACAATCGTTTGTCTTATCGACAGTCTGACCCTCGTTGACCTTAGCCGACGACAGATTGTTCCTGAATTGGCTCCTTAACTCAGGCTAAACTGTTTGCGTTTCTTTTGCAAATCTAGAGTTTCCCCAAACCTGTTTTGCAAACCTAGAGTTTTTAAACTATTCAAGTTATGCTTTGAACAGTGCGGTGCATTGAACTTCTTCACTGTTTAACGTTTCAGTAAAATATTTTTGCAAAAAGAGGTCGAAACTTGAATAAAAGTAGAAAATGCAAGTGTTAGATTTGAATCTTAAAATGTTGTATAGGTGATTGCAACAAATTAAACTAATCTTCAGGTTCAATGAGCTCTTTTTTCATGGGAGAATCTCCCTAATGAAAAAAATAGGCTGACTACAAATGCACTGCACCATTGATTAAATATAATCTCAATGATTAATGTAAACCCGTTTGAATCTCCCTCATCTTTTGGGAACAATGTTTAAAGGCTACACGTGGCTTGGTTTCCCCAACGATCAGAAGGCACACGTGCAGTTTTATCAAACCCACGCTGAAGCGTTTGCGTATGCTTATCAAAACAACAACATGAATATATCAATTCAAGGGTCAACATATTATGAGGACAACCGAAGCAGGGAACACCCACAGATAGTTGGTTGTCATCCCTCCAACATAGGTTTGACTATCCTTCTATTACGAGGAAAAAAATAAGACCGACCAAATCACAAAGATCTTATAGGGCATCGAGAGTTCTATTGGTGAGTTGTGCTTAACATTTCAACCTTTGGATGCCTTGAAATGAAACAATGCCTCATCACGTGCGATGCACATTCATCGCAGGACATACTGGGAAATATATTCAATCATTTCAGCCGATCTCTGATGCGATGAGATCGATCCATTCTGATCCTTCAACAAAGGTTTGGATAACGATCTTGCTGATTAAAGCATTCAGCCGGGCAGTGGTTGCATCTTGGTTCTTGACACTTGACAGTAGGTGCTAACAAGGCAGAAAGATTTCACAGCAATTAGACGATATATTGTTCAAGCTGGGGGTCTCCCAAGATACATATGGCAACGAAATGCTAAGGCTCCTGAGAGATTCCTATTCATTCCAAGGTTAACATTTCAATATTATCAGGAAGATTGCAGTAATTTTAGAGAATTCACTTTTTATGTTCAAGTAAATTCATGATTTCACAAAACTAAGAAAGATCCCTGGACTTGTCGAGTACTAACAATATGCACTTGCACATCCACATCTCTTACCAGATTTAAATTCAACATTTAGATCAGTGCAACGAATAAACCGCTTGATTCAAAATAGCCATCGCTTATATATGTCAATTTCAGTTTATAAGAAACAGCAAAATTTAAAATAGCATTCATGACAGTTCTGCTAACTCCACCATGCCAACAACGACTGCTAATGTGATCAATGCGTCCACTACTGCCTTTGCTTTCTCTGCTTGATCGGACCCACTACTATCACGGATCCACATCAACTTGTTTGACCAGAGACTGCAATTCCATCTCCTTTCTTTCAAGAGATTGCTTCCACCCCCACAAAGGCATTGACATACTCTTCTAAATCATTACTCCTTATTGTTTAGATCTGCTAATAGCTAAGCCATCATTCCAAGGCCCTGTTACGTCTACCATTGCCCTCATTTTGTCATTCTATCTGCAATGCCTTAACATACTCATAGACTTGTAGCCATTTGTTATGCAACAAGAAAAAAGGAACCATATGAGAAAATTGGTTCATCCAAACTTAGCCAAGATATTACGAAATGCCCATCTGAAGTCTAAAGAAAATATAATACACATTAACACATCACTTATGGGGCTTTTGATGGTCTGATGTAGCATGCATCAATAAGCTCCTTGAGCTGTCTCCGCAACTCCTCCAACTCCAGGAGCTAGTCAAGATATTGCAGAATGTCCATTAGGAGACTAATGAAACTAGTATGCATATTAAGACATCTTTTTACCAAGCCTGACTTAAAACATTATGTCATGATACTGTTTGTCGAAACAGCACCTTGTGACAAGCAAATCATCTGATTAGGTCAACAACACTTGCAAAACAGTACTAGATGGTTATGCAGGTACAAGGAAGAAGTGCTATTGTGAAGGTTTGGGCCAAAAAATTAGGATCTCCATTTCTAATGGCTTGCATAGCTTAAACAGTAAACAGAATTCCAAAGTGAATGGCCCTACTTAGGCATTCTTATCACTGGATCAACTGATATGAAATGCAAATTCTGCATGTAGATTTTCGATCCAAATGAATCTGACAAATTGCACATGTCTTCCTGGAACTGGATAGTGGTTCAACATTACTAAATGCTAAAGTAGCCAAAAATAAAAAATCATGATCATTTCCATGTTTCCCTGTCCTTTTGTTTCTTTTCTTGCAGTTTAAGGATAACTCATTTATCTAATCATTCTGCTATATATTTTTAATCTGATTTTAGTTTTCTCCTGCAACGTATGATGATTTATGACGCAACATAGCAGCAATTGTAGTAAGAGCTACTGAAAAAAAGAAAGCATGGTTGCTAATTGCTTCCATCTCGCATTCAGTGATAACAGTTGAAATCATAAAAACCAACACATTCAAAGGCAGCAAAACACAAACATAAGAAATTGTATAGAAAAGAAGAGGTAACATCCATTCATAAAATCTAAGAATTTTCCTTATTGTCCCACACAAGGGGGAAACAAATAACAGGAAACCAAGAAAAAGGGACAGGAAAAAGAGACTTACAAATGTTGGGAGCCTAACAAAAGAAAGAAAAAAAAAGACTTAAAATGTTCTCTGAGAGGTTTTCTTCCCAAATATTGCTTCCCACACCAAAGGTGAAAAAGGTGCCTTCGTATCCAGAAACTTTCTAACAGCTTTGTCATCAACCACAAATCCCTTTTGTTTTAAAGTTCCAATAACGGTCTCTGCTTCTTCCACACCCTTCTCCTTACATAATCTATCAACTAAGCCCACAAATGTGGTTACATTTGGAGAATGTCCCGCTTCAAGCATTTCTAAACAAAACTCAATGGCATCATCCAATTGGTTACATTTATACAATCCTTGAATCAAGACGGTATAAGTAAAGGCATTAGGAATTACCCCTTTCGATTGCATCTTCCTGAAAATTCTCTTTGCATCATCAAGCTTATGGGCTTTGCAGAAGCCATCAACAACAGCTGTGTATATAACAACTTCCGGGATTGTGCCTTTCTCCCGCATTGATCCAAAAAGTTTCATTGCTTCTTGGATAAGCCCATCTTTGCAGAGCCCATCAAGCATAGCTACGGCATTGGGGATGAGACCCGTCTCCTTCATTTTCTTGAAAATCTCATTAGCATCCTGTGGCGGAGAAAGCTTTTCTTCTTGCTCTTTTATCCGTACCTGGGCTGCTGCTTCTAAATATGAGGGCTGTTTTTCTCTCTTGTTGTCAAGGCCAAGCTTGAATTTTTCCAGAAAGTTTACATCAGATTGAGAGTCCTCTCTCTTCTTGTCAGGACCAGAAGTAAACTTGGTATTGGGGGATTGAAAAGAGGAACCATTACTATTAAGGGTGGCTCCTTTGGTTTCTCTGGAAGAGGGATTGAGAGGCCTCTGACCCCTTAAGGGTCTGTCGGGAATAGGCTCGGGAGCCTTATCACTATCCCCATTGCTATTAAAACTGCTACGTTCGCTGTCTCTGACGGGTCGCCTTATATCGCTGAAAAGGCGCGTTTGCAAGAGATAGAGTGAAGGCGGTGCTCTTGGAATGGGGTGGTGGAGCTTCAAAGTTAACATCTTAATCAGCTTCGTAAAAACCCAAGCTTGTGATGATTCCATATTGTATCACTACTTTCTATATCAAAGGCCGTTGCTTTCTTCTTCAATTCAAAGAAACTGCTTTTGACTTTGACAGAGCGAGGGTTTAAGCTAAAGGAATTTAGGGTTTTGGGGCCAAAACAAAACAGAAAGAGGAGGAAGAGTAAGAGAAAGGACGGGAGGAGCCAATATTGGCCAGGGGTAAAATAGTAATTAAGTGCAAGCTTCAAGGGTAATAGCGATAATTTAGGCAGTGAAAGCGAGCAAATCCTTAATTTCAGAGCTAAGCCCAGTAGCAAGGGGACACTGGATATTGGATAAGGCTTTTGGTTTACCCAGGAGCTCCGCTTCATCCCAGTAGCTTTTGCAGCTCTAATGTCCGACAATTCAATCACTCGCCAAGAGCACTTGGGTTTTGCCTCTGGTTTTCTCTAATTCAATTTCAATAGGTAATGTTGCCTCTTTCAATCGCCCCATAATTTTTTACTTTCACTGGAAACAGACAGTATAATAGAGTTAATTTGTGTTGTGTTCCTTTTTTTCTTTCTTGTTTTTTGTTTTTTGAAACAATGTCTTGGGAAACCTCTCCCTTGTTGTTTCTTGGTATCATTTACTGAATCACTCTGCTTGGTCTTGCATTTTATCTTGATTAAGTAGTAATTTTCAATGTAGCTCGTATGTTTCTTTCTGCCATCCTGAATCCATCTTCTGTTAGTCTTAATTGTTAGTGATTGTTTATAAGAACCTATTTTCAAGAAGCTTCATTTCCTCATTGCTTACATTTTTTTCCCTCTCCCCCACCCCCATCCCCTCCTCGACTCCACCATCCTTCAAGTAACTTGTTTTAGATTTTCAAGACTAATAAAGCAACTGCATTCAATAACTGCTAGGCGCATAAAAATGCATATGCTTTTGAGTTTCTCTACTATAGTGCCATTGCAACATATTTTACTTGGAGTCTTGAAGTCAATGTGAATTTATGATTGTTTCTAGAGATTAATGTCCTGCTGGCTCGTCTTTGCAACAGACATGGATGTTGCCAACAATCAAAATAGTAGTAGCATCATGTGGTTCTTTAGAGACAAAGGTTTTGATGATAAAAGTATCAATGAAATGTTCAAGAAGTGTAAGCGCCTTCAGGGTGTCCAGAAGGAAAGAGCCTCTGAAAACTGGTCTTACTTGAAAAGCATTGGTATTCAAGAGAGAAAGCTGCCTTCTGTTGTTTCCAGGTGCCCCAAAATTCTTGCTCTTGGTCTAAATGAGAAGCTTGTCCCCATGGTAGAGTGCCTTGCTACCCTGGGAACTAAACGTCATGAAGTTGCTTCTGCCATTGCTAGATTCCCTCACATAATCTCTCACAGTGTGGAAGAGAAGCTTTGCCCGCTCCTGGCTTTCTTTCAAGCCTTGGGGGTCCCTGAAAAGCAACTAGGCAAAATGATATTACTAAATCCAAGGCTCATCAGCTATAGCATTGAATCTAAACTCACAGAAATAGTTGACTTTCTTGCCACCCTTGGCCTTACCAGAGAAGGGATGATTGGTAAAATTCTGGCTAAATACCCATTTATAATGGGTTATAGCGTTGAAAAAAGGCTACACCCTACCTCAGAGTTTTTAAAATCAGTTGGTTTGTCTGAGAGAGATCTTCAAACAGTCGCCATGAACTTTCCTGAAGTCTTGTGTAGAGATGTGAGCAAGATTCTTAGAACCAATTTTGCATATCTAAAAAGATGTGGATTTGGGGATAGACAGATAACAGCTTTGGTAACTGGCTATCCCCCTATTCTGATCAAGAGCATCAAGCATTCTTTAGAACCTAGGATTAGGTTCTTGGTTGAGGTGATGGGGAGGCAAATTGATGAAGCAGCTAATTACCCAGACTTTTTTCGTCATGGTTTAAAGAAGAGACTAGAGTTGCGGCACAGACTTTTGAAAGAGAAGAATGTCAGATGTAGCTTAAGTGAAATGCTGGACTGCAGTCAAAAGAGGTTCCAACTGAAGTTTGGTTTGTTTAAAGGGTTTGCCTGAGGTACTAGACCACATTCCAATTCTCTTTGATCTATCATTTTTTGTATTGTCACCTTATATGAAGTGAATTTTTGTGTATGTTTCTAAGTTTATCAATTAGAAATTGAGATCAGCAACTGCAGCTTTTATCTGAACATGTAGTGGTTCTATGGTTCAGTCTGAATTAAAAATTTTGTGTATGAAGCCTAACTTCCAATTCCTTTATAATTTGATCGAATGCTTGCCTGTTATCATTGAGGTATGGACAGCATCTTGTATTTGCTAAAGTAAGTACTCTAGCCCAGTCTATAGAGATTATCATAACTGTAATTCTGCACTGAATGATGCAACATCACTTATGATTCTTAAAGTTCATTAATGTCCATTTGTGTTCCTTTTGGAAACAGTCCTCTTAGATGGATTGTTTCGGAGAGGGAGAGACAAAGAATTAGAAGGGAGAAATGAAAAGAGGAGAGGAAATGATGCGCTTGTTGCTTGAACTGGAAGGGAAGGATTTTTTGTGGGAAAAGTGGTTAACTGTTAAGTGTGGATTTTGGGGTTTAAGTTACTCTAACCCATTCATTCTTCTAAGACTTTAACTTCAAGTGGGGTTGATTTCTTGGATTTGATGGATTTGATTCAAGAATTCCAATGGTTTATCAAAAAAAAAACAAAAGAATTCCAATGTTTAGCAACGGCATCCTGTAGAAAAATAAATTATTTATGTATTATTTCAACCAACTAATATATGATTTATTATTAATTTTTAAATAATTTATATTTAAAATTTTAATAATTAAGCATAACTTTTTTTGGTACAAAAAATTAAGTATAACTATAAAATGTACTAATGCACACATGAGCACATATTAGAATTATATGATTAGTAGTTATTTTAGACAAACTAATAGTCTTATTAAACTCTTAAATCTTAAATATAAATATAAGATTTGATCAGAAAATAAATTGCAAAAAGTTATGTTAAGCAATTAATATAGGATAAATCTCATCCATGACTCTAAATTTTTTATTTTAGTTTCATTTTAGTCCATAATTTTTTATTTTATATAATTATTATAAAAAAATTATCACATCCACTAACATTTCACTGTCAAAATTAGCAGGTGACACAAATGTCTTCCAATGCAATAAAAAACAATTAAAAAAATAAAAACATGTAACAGTCTTTTAAAACCTTTTGCAGAGTTAAAAGGTAATTCCATTAATTCTTATTACAAATATACAATTTCATTGAAACTGATTTAAGTGAAAAAAAAAAAAAAATACCCATACGTATTCCAAACCCAAAAAAATGGGCTCAAAACCTCAACACTCCTCGGCCCTGCGGCGAAATTACTGGAGAGAGCTGTAAATGGGTAAAATTAAGGACAAAACAGGATAGACGTAAGTTCCAATTTTATCGTGCAAAGTTGAGTTGTTGGAGAACAACTGTTGTTAAAAGTGTGGGCAAATCCCAATTGTCGTCTGAATCTGCCCGTACTGTGAATAAAGAAGAATACCGAACTTCACCCATCTCGAAACTTTGATTAAACCTCCTCAAGAACAAGTCAAATCCTCGATTTCCGGAGAACAGCGAAGAAATTTTCGGTTTTTACCTAAACTGGGACTTAGGGTCAGTTACTCATCCTGCCTTGTCATCATTCATCATTTTTTTTTTTCGTTTGGGATTTTCTGATTTTTTGTTCTTCTGCTTTCTATGAATTGATAATTTGTTTCCAATTCATTTAATGATTATATATTACAGTAACACGTACACTGATAAAGTTGCAGATACTTAGAATAGATTTTTGGTCCCAGATTAAGATTTTATGTTAAATCTTGATTTTCTTACATTCTAAAAACTTTTGCAATAATTAACACCATGCGATATTCATATGTCATGTCGTCATAACAAACAGAATTCTGATGACATTTTAAAATAACCAAATTTCCACATTACTAATTCTTCATTCAGCTCTAAGAATAGAAAACCTGAACCTTTCAGTTGGTTTGGACGGTGAGCTACTGCTTAAGCCTGTTGAAATGTGTATTCATTTTTATGTTTAGTCTATTAGCAAAGTACTTCAATGAGGAATTAAACACCTTTCCTTCTTTGTGCTTGCTACAGTGGAATTTCAGAGAAAGATGAGTTCCACCAGACACAGGACCCTAGGGGGTGGGGGTCATCATGTATTGGACCATCTGAGACGAACGCAAGCAGAGAATCCTTCATTCTTTTACGCAATTCAAGGTGATAATGACCACACTTGTGGAAACATACTTTGGGTAGATGATACATCAAGGTTGAATTATACTTACTTTGGGGATACTGTCATATTTGACACAACATATAGGAGAAATTGCTATAGGGTGCCATTTGCCTCATTCACAGGATTAAACCATCATGGGCAGCCAGTTTTGTTTGGATGTGCTCTAATTTTCAATGAGTCTGAGTCCTCGTTTATATGGCTATTCCAAACATGGCTTCGTGCAATGTCAGATCGCTGTCCCATCTCTATATCAGCTGACCCAGATCATCTGATACAGATGGCTGTTACAAAGATTCTTCCAGAAACACATCTTCGTTTCAATAAATGGAGCATTTTCAAAGAAACCCAAGAGAAGCTGGCTCACATATACCAATCATATCCTACTTTTGAAACAGAATTTAAGAAATGTATTAATGAGACCGAGACAAGTAGTGAGTTTGAATCATCTTGGGTATCGCTTCTGGAAAGGTACTTTGTCAAGGGTAATGAATGGCTTCAGTCAATGTACAGTGCTCGGCAACAGTGGGTCCCTGTTTACATGCGAGATACATTCTTTGGGGAGTTATCTATAACTGAGGGAAGTGGAGGTTTAAACTCATTCTTTGAAGGGTTCGTGAATGCATCAACCACCATACAGATGTTGATCAAGCAGTATGAGAAAGCTGTAGCAAGTTGGAATGAGAAAGAATTAAAGGCAGATTATGACACCACTAACACTAAACCAATTCTTAAGACACCCTCTCCCATGGAAAAACAAGCAGCTAACCTCTATACAAGAAGAATATTCATGAAGTTCCAAGAGGAGTTGGTTGAGACCCTCGCTAATCCTGCAACTAAAATTGAGGACTCAGGAACTGTCACTACGTATCGGGTTGCCAAATTTGGGGAAGACCACAAAGCACACACTGTTAGCTTCAATTCTTTTGAGACGAAAGCTAGTTGCAGCTGCCAAATGTTTGAAAATTCTGGAATAATATGTAGGCACATATTAGCAGTTTTCAGAGCAAAAAATGTTCTTACACTTCCTTCACAATATGTACTAAAACGATGGACGAGAAATGCCAAAACTGGGGTTGTGTTGGAGGATCGTGCTTCTGAATTGCCAAATAATTCTGGGGGGTCCTTATCAGTTCGGTATAACAATCTACGCCAAGAAGCTATTAAGTATATTGAAGAAGGGGCAAAATCTATCCACGTGTACAATGTGGCAATGGATGCTTTACAAGAGGCAGAGAAAAAGGTTGCTGCTGCAAAAAGAAAAAGCCCTACAGCTACAGCAGATGGAGCACTGGGCAACGGAGGTAATAAGGACTTGCATGCTGCAGGAGATACTCAGACTGTGGCATGTCAATCTGCGGTAAGTTTCTCCTACCTTAGGATATTATCTAGGTTGTTAAAATGTTAACGCCCCTTTGTTATTAAGCTTCTCAAATGGACTATATTGCAAATTCATTTCATTATTTGATGAAGTTATTTCACGCATCTTTCTAGGGCCAGTTGAGAATAGGAATCTATGCTGTCCAAAGCTAATCTTGAAGTCAGTAAATGATGGTTTTAACCATTTTAGAAAAAGGCTTACTCATCTTTCCTATTGAGATTCTGATTTTTTTTTCTATTTTCTGTTTAATCAACAAATTAGGTAATTGAATTCACGGAGTATCAGGAAAATGACAATATAATAGTCTTCCCTTGTATTGATTTGGTCCTGTTATTTTGTTGGTATATTTATTAAGTCATATCAACAATACTCATCTGATTATAGCAATGATATTTCAAAATGTTCTCTCACCAACTTCATTTCCTTGTTTATTATTTTCTGTTTTCTTTTTATTTATAGTTTGTTGGAGTAAAATTTACTTAACGTTGTAAGATTACTCTCATCAATGGTAACTTTTTTCTCATAACTGCCTTAATGTTTCTAGTTAGTTTCATAACATTTAATTTTACCATTATCTTCTCTTTTTTTTTCTTTTAAGCTCTTTATTTAAGGAGAAAATGAACAAAGAATCTTTAGATTAACTTCTCCACTTATTGGCCCCTTCAGCATCTAATGCCTAAATTCTTTCGCATTCCATAAAGGTTGAATTTGTCCATTAAATTCAGTGAATTATGTAAGGAGCTGATAAGAAACTCTTGATCTCAGACCGGTTTAGCAGTCCTGTGTTTAAATAAATAGAATTAAACTTTTTCATGAATTATGCCTTGCACTGCTATTCCGGCAAACCAGTTAGGAGAACTGAGCTTCTAGATTTAGGAGAGATCAAAACTTCTAGAGATAGATTACAAAAAATGTGGATGCAAGTAATAAGAAATGATGCGAGAGTTAAGGAAGTAGAGGAAAATGTTGTTTTTGATAAATATAAGTGGCTTAAAAAGATTTAAAACTACGACCTAACATAATTTTTTATTTTAGCCTTTCGTACAACCAGAGTTATGGGATATAAGGCTTAATTTGTTATTGTTGTTGTTGTTATACTGCTATTCAGGCATAGGTATACCAATGGTCCTTAATTTCAACTTCCAATTAGAATTTTTTAGAGAGAGAGTGGGAAATCTAGGTTGATACTCACCGAGGCTTAACTTCATCTGAAATACATGCATACATAGATGTATAAGAACTTTTTGCACTCTCTTTGGGAAGAGGAATATAAAATGCTTACTTCCTGAAATTCCCAATGAGTCCATTAGTGTTTTCTTTTGATCTTTTCAAGTTTCATGCTTTGATAGGTTGACACGTATTTAATGAATAAAAAAGAGGTGCCTCTATACATTTTTCTTCAAAGTTTTTTTGTTATTATTATTTTTTATGCCCATTGCTGGATCAGAATATTGTCCTCACAATACAAGGATAGATACGATCATTATATGATTGTTTTATGACCCTGATGCATACGTGGAAAATAGTTTATTAAGGAACTCTCTTGATGACTTATCATTATCATTTTCTCATTTTGTGATTGTGACTTGAGATCTTCATTGTCCTATCACTCAGGATGAGAAGGAAAAGAGAATTCGGGAATTGACTACAGAATTAGAGAGCATAAACCAGCGATGTGAAGTGTATAGAGCAAATCTACTGGCTGTTTTGAGGGATATGGAAGAACAGAAGTTAAAGCTGACTGTTAAAGTTCAAAACGCAAGGCTTAGTTTGAAAGAGTGAATGTATTGTACATACTTATAGTTGGCATTTTAGCTTTTTGGATGATTGGCAAGAATTGAGCATGATTGGGTTAATTTACCATAAAAACATCTTAATAGATTGTATGAATATATATATATATATATATATATATATATATAAGCTTCTTCGAATGGTGAGAGCAGTTTTCTAGTTTCTACCTTGTCTTTCAGCGAAGAGCATGAAGACAAACGGACAATTTTCATTGGGAACATGGGCATTGGGCAACTCATCATATGTTGACCTGAAACTTTTTTGCTTTCTGAGAGTGAACCCGAGACTTAATAAAGCAACCATGGACCAACATAAAACTGCATATTGCATATGCATACCAGGCGCAAGTCGTCTCGATTGGCATTGCCCAACACTGCCCCCAGGTAGAGCTGCATCAAACTATAATGACGTTGGTGATTTAAATAAGTGGTAAATCAACTCCTAATCTTTGGAAAACGGACTACTGTGATGGTGGCCTAACATAATAGGTTGACTCGTGATACATAAACAAAAGCTATAGGCATCTTATCCTTGCATGAAGCTTGAAAAAATGACAATCTTTTTAAGAGATCAGAGGTTACGAATGGCTCAAAATTGAACCAGTTTCAGTAAAATAGTTATGCACCAATTAATCTGCGATGAATTTCCTATTTAATTGACAGCCACAGAGCTACAGTGTATCTTCCTCCATCCTTCATGACATGACCAGCAATAGTAACTCTTCAACCTTTATTTCACTATCCTATTTAGATCACAGTCAAAGAATATTTCCAGCTGAATCTTCAAACATAGTGGTAAGGAAGATATTATTCATAGCAACGCCTATGGTGAATATTTTGCCTCCAACCCGCAACAAACGAAATCAAGCTAACAGAAATCCATGTTATATACGCTGCATGTTTTCCCCCACCGTTAGTGAATACCATCATGATGATGATGAAGGAGTTGGTTATCAGGAACTCTTCAGACTAGATGCTTGACACAGGGTCACCATCACCAATCTCCATCCATCGGTTCTTTATTTTTATTTTTTTCCTTGAATAATCTCCAGAGTTTACTAAAAGAAACTAATCACTCAAATTTACAAAGTATGCACCTAAAAGACATCAATTATACTATACATGGCAACAAGACCGAAGCCATTCCTAATTGCTCTACAACATTCAAAGGTGAAGAAAAGCCTGGCCCAATTACTAGGGTAGTATTGAAGACCAAGACTTCAAATACAGAATCAGATGAGATAAATCGAAATTACATGGCAGAAATGTATTGCACCATCAGAGGCCATCCTTCATACTGATCTTTATATTTTGCACTTTAATTGACAGCTGTAGCTTATGGTCTTCAATGTCTTTTAAAACAGAAAGCAAGTTTGCACGGTAAACTTCACACTTTCGACTTGCATACTCCAGCTCATTGGTAAGTTCCCGGATTTTCTTGTCCATATCATCCTGAAAAACAATGAAGCACCATCGTCATTTTTTTGCCCCCTTTTTCTTACATGTGCATATTTATTGTAGATATATGTCAAAACCAGATTGTTTATATCCCAAGAATTATTGAACAGAGTCCCTGAAGATAGTCCACATCATATACCTCAAAACCTACATGGTTTAAGGAAAACATAGAAGAGAACTGCATACTCAATTCATCATTCAGTATGAACATGTAATGCCTTTGCTTAACATAGAGTAGAACACCTTAGGCTAATGAAAGATGCCATGCTTAGACCCAAACTTGCAACCAGATTGTTGCTGAACAAGAATATGAATAAGCTGAATATATACTGTAAGCACAAAGCCCTTAAGAATCATTAAAGCAAAAGCATAAGGAAAGGCAAAACCAGGTATAACGGAGCTTAAAAAACCACCCAACAGATTTAGATCTGTGTTCCTTTGCTACCGAATTTTTGAGAAAGATGAATCATGAATAAACAATTCAGAAGAATAACTATTAATTTAATCCACAAGCGAAGAAGAGAATCTAGCTCTTGATAATATCAAGGTTATAATCTGTTAGTCTTCACCAAGTATGTTAAAATGGAGAGAAACATAGTAATTAACATAGTTAGCTTACAAATTAATGCAGATAATTCATTTCACTTCAAAGAAACACAACATGTTAACAATATAATGAAGAGCAAAGACATAATTGTCACAAACAAAGTAGCAGAGCATTAAGCCTAGAGGCACTTGCTACAAAAATGGACGCTGCAGTATATGTATTTTAGTCTCAAGCCCTGAACCCACTGAGGTAACTCTACACCTTTCCTATTCCCATTGAAACTAGAATTTGGGTGGTCCCTTTTAAGTTGAAGATGCAATCCAAAACTTTAAAATAGAATTTCTAGAGCTGACAATATGTTCAATGACATATCCATGGAGTATAGCAAGTTTGAACAGAAATAATCCATCTCACTGGTAAGGCTTACTACAATAACAACAAATTCAAATATGAACAGTAAGTTAGGTACTGAAGAAAATAAGAAAACAAAACATTTACAGCAAAGTTTAACCAAGAATCTTAAAAGGACTGACTGATGTTCGTTGAATTTTCATTCAGTACATCATATGTAGAACAAGAAACAGGAATAATGGAATAATAGTTCTGACCTCAGACAAAGGTTGACCAGGCATTTTGTGATTAATAGTATTTGCCTGACTAGCATCACGTGCAGAGTCCCCCCTGATCCTCCCATTAACCATCATAGTCCTGCCTTCATTCTTTGTCGCAAAAGCAACTCTTTTTGCAGCCTCTTGGAGAGCACCAATTGCTAGATTGTAAGTGTCTAAAGACTTTGATCCTTCATCAACAAACTTGAAGGCCTCATGGCGTAGGGTATTATACCGGACTGTATGAGATTCTAGATAATTAGTATATACATCACTAGCAGGTTCTTCTAATATAACACTAGTCCTTGCATTTCTCGTCCATCGTTTCAAAATATAATGAGATGGGAGAGTAAGGACATTGGTTACTCTGAAAACTGCCAATACATGTCTACAAAGAAGACCAGAAAACTCAAACATCTGGCAGCTACAAGTGGCTTTCATTTCTAAAACATTGAACTTAACATAGTGGGCTTTATGATCCTCTCCAAACTTTTCCACCTGATATGTTATGATGTCAGCATCATCATCATCATCTGATTTTGATGCCATGAATGTCAGAGTCCCAACTAGCTCCTCTTGAAATCTCATAAACAGTTTTCCAGTATAAAGCTCTGAAGCCTGTTTCTCCATTGGAGATGGGGTCTTCAAAGCAGGGGAAATGTTCATTGTATCATAATCTGCTCTCACTTCTTTCTCATTTCGACTCTCCAGAGCTTTCTCATAGAGCTTAAAGAACTGATTTAGATTGGTTGAAGCATTCACAAAACCATCGAAGTATGAATTCATGCTATCACTTCTTTGGGTTATAGACATTTCAGCAAAAAAAGTGTCCCGCAGATATACAGGGACCCACTGCCTGCGGTCATTGTATATCGTCTGAAGCCATTCATGATCCCTGAGTTCATATCGATCTACAAGTAACAACCAACAAGACTCAAACTCCTCAATTGATTCAGGCAAGTTAACACACTTATGGAAATCCGCTTCAAAAGTTGGATGCTTGAGGAACAAATGGGACAACTTCTCTTGGCATTTCTTGAAGATATGCCATTTGCATAAACGGTGCCGAGTCTCAGGGAAAACCTGCATAATGGCTGACCTAATAACAGCATCATGATCGGTGGTGATTGACACCGGGGGGTGACCAGACATTGCCATAAGCCAAGTCTTAAACAGCCAAACAAAGGATGCTTCAGATTCATTTATTAAGAAAGCACATCCAAACAAAACTGGTTGTCCATGGTGGTTTACTCCAGTGAAAGGTGCGAAAGGTAGCCGATACCTGTTCGACCTATAGGTAGTATCAAAGGTAACAGTATCCCCAAAGTAAGTATAATTCATCCTAGACTTTGGATCAGCCCAAAACACATTACTAATCAAAGCTTGATCCTCATCACCCTGCACAGCATAAAAGAAATTGGGATTCTCAGCTTGCATTTGCCTCAAATAATCCAAAAGCAGTTGAATATCTCCTTCTAGGCTCCTCTGCCGATTATTCCTCATATAATTCCTACAATCCACTTCTGTAAATCCAACCTTACTAATTCCACCATATTCTTTTATTAAAGCAGACATAATCCTACGAGGGCCCATTCCAGCAGCCTGCAATGTATCAATCAAAGTCTTAGCAGGCCCAGATATTTGCCTATGAGACCGAAGCCAATGAACCTGATCAGGTGGAACAAGCTCGTGATTATGCCCTCTAACAAATCCAGACACAACCCATTTCCCAGAATCCTGCATTTTAACAGACAAAGAAGCCTTACATCCTACTCTAGTAATAGTACGAGGACGCTTGATCTCCCTATCTTTTGTTCTTTTCTCATTCAAATTCCTAAACCCTTCTTTAGCACAAACAAACTGTCTCTGAATAATTGCTCCATCACGCCTGGAACGACGAGAAGAACTTACACGTGTACTAAAACCGACACGGCGAGCATAAGAATTGTAAAAGGCCTTGGCGGCTTCTTCAGACTCAAATTCCATACCTTCATAAGGCTCAAGATCCTGCACGTCCCCTTCTGGAAGGTAAATTTCACCTCCACCGCCATTGCTATTACAAGCAATAATTGACGGAGCAGGGCTATCAGCCATGTCCTCGTCAACGTCTAACCCTATGTTGGCATCATCATCGCCATCGCGGCCGCTGCTACCTCCTCCGCCTAAGCCTATGTCGAATTCCAGAACCTCCGCGTCCATGTAATTGAACTTTATTTATTTATTTATTTTTTGCAAAAAGTTGAAAATTTTAATGTGAAAATGGAATTGAAGTGGTAAAAAAAGATGTAAGCTTCACCGTGGAAGACATGAACAAAGAGACGGGAGCTAGGGTTTCCAGAGAAGAATGGAGAAAATGAGAGAAACCCTAGAATCGATATCTAAACGGGGGAATTTTATGAAGAGGGGGAGATTGAAATTTTGAATAAAGAAGGTGTAAAGGAAAATGAGAAGAGCAAAGTGAAAGAGAGCGGAAGTTCAGATGAAAAAAATTCAGCACATTACGAAGGGGTCGACAGAGAAAATTCAGAAATTTTGGAATTTCGGATTACGGTCTACGGAATACGGGTTGGGGGTGGTTGTGTTTTGCTACGGCTTAACTTTTGGGTCTACCAGTCGTTGCACTCTTATCACCGTTGGATTAGAATATCATATCAGCCGAAAAAATTAATCATTTAAGTAAATAGCATCGTGCTCCTTAAAATAAAATTTTATTTTATTGCTTATATTTTAAAAAATTTTAATCAAACTCTTAATTGCTTAAATCAAAGTTATTAATATTGTATCAGAAAATATTTTATTTTTTTAAATATGATATTACTGGTATCAATTATTATGATATATTATTTCAAATTTTTTGATTTAATATAAATTTATTTATAAATATACATAAACATGTATATTATAATCTTATTAATAATTTATAAAATAAATATGTACTATCTTTAAAAATCAAATAAATAAATTTAAGAGTATAAAAAATAATATCATAAAATCTTTACTATATTTTTAAACATTCAGTTTGATCATATGATATTTAAATAAATATTTTTTATACAAATATTAAGATAAAAATAAAAAGATGAAAAATTTTAATCTTTGTTTCATAGTTGTTAAACTTTAAAAAGGAAACATAATTACTTTTTTTAAAAAAAATGAAATACTTATGAATTTTTATTTAAAAAATAAAATTTAAAAAGTTATAAAAAAATTTTAAAAAAAATTAATTTTTAAGAACTATTTTATCAATTAATTTTATTTTTATTAGATTAAAAAATAATCAAACAATAAAAAATAAATTAAAAATTACAAAATATATTTCACATTTACATATTAATTGAAATAAATAAATTCATTAAAATTTATTGAAACAAATAAAATTAATTAATATTATCCAATATAAATTTTGATATAAAAATTTATTTTTAAATTTATCATATTTTAATGTAATTAAAACGTATTAATTAATATGATTGATACCAAAATAAAATTAATAATTATAATCTAAACCCATATCAAAGTGTTCTCTTCATTACCTATGCCATTTATATTAATAAAAAATAAAAAAATAAAAAATCTTTTCTTGTCGTGTCTTTAATAAATTGACATTAGATTTAAGGTTAAAAATAAATTTAATTTAGGATTTGGCATTTAAAGTTTGTTTGGTTTAGATTTAAAGAATAATTTCACTATCCAGACACATCCTTAAAAGAAGTTTTACAAGCTCACTGTCAATCTATTAAAGATGCAACGGTAAATGAACTTTTTTTTCGTCAGTTTGAACAGCACAAATGATGCCGGGATTAAATTGATACGGGTTTAAGTAATTGAGGATGTGATTAATAATTTTTAAAATTTAAATAATTAAATTAAATTAAAATTTAAAAAGCACAAATGCTGTTTATGAATAATTTAAAAAATAAATTGCAGAAAATGTTTGTCAATTAATTATTAGAAGTATCAACCTCAAAATGCTTCCCAAGGTCTGATGTTGTCCACTCCCAGTTCCACCATTTAAAAAATATATATATAATTAAATATTTTTATATTAATATTTTAAAAAAATGGAATCAAGTCCAAAGTTAAAAATTCAGGTCTAAAATTGGACCAGGCTGTCGTGAACAGGTCTAGGACTCAACTTGCCTTTGCTACAATATTTGGGCAAAGTAACTAGTTTGTTTTACTATATTTATTATAAAGGTACTGATTTTTTTTTATTTTTTATAAGAATTATATCCTCTTTTAAATTAAAAAAAAAGATAATGTTATTTTCTTATAGTTAAAAGGTTAAATGTGACGATATTTCAATAAAAATAATATTTCAAAATGTATATGTTTTCAAAAAAAAAAAAAAAAGTGCACGTATTTTGATTAATAAAAATTGCACTTTCTAGTTGCGACAATGTGTGGGACAAATTACTTAGTTTATTTATATTAAAAAGATAATATTGTTTTAGGTATAATATTTAAATAAGCCTTTAAAATTTTATTTTAAATTGTAAATAAATTTTGAGTTTTTGTTGTATAAAATTAAAATTATAAATTCTTATTTATTTTAATTAGAATTTTGAAGGTATAAAATTTTTAATTTTTTGTTTGAATTTTTTAAATTAGATGATTTAATTTGTAAAAAAAAATATTTATTTAAATTTATTTCAATGAGTTAAATAAAAAATATTTAAGAGAATATTACTTTAAAAATTTTATTAATTAGATATTACTTATTTAATTTTAAAATTTAATGAATATAATTACAATAAATAAAAATCATAGTTTTTATTTTATGCAATAAAAAGTTGAGAATTTGTTTGCATTATAAAATAAAAGTTCAAAAATTTATTTGGGTATTAAACATTATTTTATTATAGTTCAAATGTCAAATGTGACATTATTTTAATAAAAAATAATGAGAAAATACAAATATTTTCAAAATTAAAATTAAAAAAAATGTGTGTCAATTTTAATGAAAAATTTTTTAAAATTGTAATTGCGACAAGTGCCCATTTGTGCTGCAAAGTGCGAATGGCCAACCAATCGGCTGTACCACCGTCGATAGACAAAATCGTGAATCCTTTCCCAACTTCATTTATATAAAGCGGAGAGGCAATAATTTTCACTCATTATTAAACATGTAAAACATGTTTGAGAATCCATAAACACAATGCAATTACATTTATTTTAAAATTTTAAGCACCTTTTGTTTTACCTGTCAAAGCAATTAACTTACCTTTTTAGTACATTATCTTATCTTTCATGCCCATAGAAATAGTTTTTACTTAGAAAAAAAATTATTAAGCTTTATTTTTTGTGGTGCTTATTCCCTCTCTTGTTGTAGATCTTAAAGGTGAGAACCATGGCTTGAGTAGTCAGACCACCATAGGATCTGCTTAAAAAATAATCAACACAAATATTTCAAGATTTTAATTTTTAGCATATGTTATGAACCGTGGACATTATTATTTTGTTATATCTGTTTTATATATTATAACTATTAATTTTAATTTTGAATAATAAAATTATGATTTATTTTTATTTATGTTAAAATGATATTATTAATAAAAAGTAATTTTGATTTAAATATGTTATTTTTTAATGTAGTAAAAGACACGTTAATTGTGTCTAATTATATTGTATAAAATTTAAATAAATTTTAAATGTATTAATTATATTATATGATATAAAATGTATCATATTTATGTTTAAAAATTTTATATATTTAATATTTTATGTCGTGTGATTCGTATCTATGTTTAGATATGATATAAAACATAATATAAGCACATAAAAATACCAAGTCTACTATCGCATTGTTTTTAGATCATTAATGCAACAATATTGATTATATGCATTAACATTAAGATCATCGTGAGAGAGCAAATACTAGATCTTGGCAAATTGTAGCGTCGAACAAAATCTGTTTGGAAATTTAACAAATGAGCAAGCACACTTGGAAAAAGTAGGAAATACGGAGGACAATAAATTTTTTTTTTTGAACGATAGATGCAAATGGTTAATTAGAGTGTGCCAAATATTGAAAAAAATTTCTCAAACACTTTCAAAATTTTTTCTTGAATACCTTCACAAATTTTTTTTTTTTTAATGAAAAAAATTTGAAGATAAATAAATTATTTATTCTCTCAAATAAAAATAAAATATATCGTATTTGATAATTTAAAATAAATAATTATAAATCATACATTTAATATAATTTTAATAAATAATCATCAACAAAACTCAAAAATTCACAAATTTTCTTAATTTTCTTATCACTTCACTCAATAACACTATCCAATACCCAATCACAACCTATAACCAATCAAGATCCAACACTCAAAATTTATCTATTGTAATAAGTGGACACCCCTAAAAAAAATTTTGAATCTGTCAGTGCCATTCTTGGACAGTAAGACTGCCATCTTCTTGAGTTCTCGTAAGTTACCCCAGCCATGTCAAATTGTACCTTCATGCATGTACCAGAGCCAATTTTATCTTTTTCGGACAGGACTTTGTTAATTACCTTCTTAGTCCCTTTAAAGCATTGCCCATGAAACTTTCCGCATCAACGTGGTTCACTCGTGTAAATATTTAAATCTTATACAATATTATAATACAATGCATTTTTTTTAATTTTTTAAAATTAATTTATTCATTGATCTTTTAATTTATCGCATTATTATTATTCAAATATTTCGTAAATTTTAAATTAAATAATAAATACATCAGAGTGAAAGCATGGATCTACAACGAAGGAATGGCAATCTTCTAATATCTTATATGTATTAAAACATATATATGTATGATGTTTAGAGGTGTTTATGAATCTATTTAGAAAAAAAAAAGAGTTTATTGAATGGTATTTGATTTACATTTTTGAAGTTTTATTTAATGTTTGATCCAATCTGCTTATTTAGGTACAAACAAAACCTAATATTATAAAAAAAAAATAGGTTTATATAAATATTTTAACATTTTAAATATATATTTTAAATTAAATTTAAAAATATTTTAATAGTAATATGAACAGGTTCGGGCTTGAACATAAAATACATTATCAAAAGCAAATCTAGGCTTGGGAGCTTGAAAGGCAGCCCGAGCCCATATCCAAGGAAGTTCAATTTAATAGGTTGTCTACAGTAAATATCTAAACAAGACTACAAGAGAACACAATTCCAAGCAAGGTACTCTACTGAGCTCATGTATGGGGCTCTATGCATGCAGAGTTTGTGTATGTTGCTGGGATCGGGCTGAAGCTTGTTAGGAGTTTGAAGCGTTAGTTAACACGTGCGGAGAGAAAAACATCAGAGAACCGCTCGGCCCTTGAAATGGTCATTGGATGGTTGCTGTAAAAAAGGTTTCTGATAAAGTTTTACACGCGTGACAAAAGTGAGACTCTGACCCTGAAAATCAAAACAACACTTTACTGCCATATCACCTCAACAGTAGTTTCTACTTCAACTCTCCCCTCCCGTCTTGTTTCCTTTTGTTTTTTCGAATTCAAAACCCAGGGCCAGGCCAGGCCAGGCCAAGCCAAGCACCTACCCGAAGCGGCTGGGTCTTGAGTTATTCCCTCGAACAAAGACGGTAAAGTAAGTTCTTTTTGTTTGTTTAGGGTTCATTAATGCCGCAACCCACCAGGGTTTATGTCTCTGACGTTTTCTTGTGTTCCTTCTTGCAGGGGCTCAAAAGAAAGACCCCTTTTATTTTTGAAATTTTTTATTTTGTGGCTAACCCAGAAAGCAGTGGATGGATGTGAGTATGAGGAAAAATGTTTCTTTTAGGTTGTAATATAAATGGGAAAAAGGAGTAATTTTTGTTGTAATATTTTAGCTTTTGATTTATTATTGTTGTTGTTGTGTGCATTTACATCCTTTATTCTTTTTAAGAAAAAAGTTTGGGTTTGTGGGTTTTTTCTGTTTTCGCCATTTTGGATTTTAGGAACCAGAGAAGATGACTGGTAGTGGTAGTGAGGCTCAGATGGATGATTCCAAACCAGGAGCTGCAGATGTAGCTGAAGCGGACTCTCAAGCCCCAATGGACACGGAAACAGAAGCTGCTGAAGTGAAAGACCAAGTTCAAGATGAAGAACCTACCAACCTTGAAGAAGATGGAAAAGAGGACAAATCTTTGGCTGAAATTGTTACCAAAATGGACGTTGTTGAAGATGGTGATGCTCCCATTCATTCACATTACGATGGACGTTGTGGAAGCCCCAACTCTGACATAAAACTCCAAGATGATGAAAATGGGGAACAATTGAAGAATTTGTCTGTAGAAAGGGAAATTAAGAAGCAAGTGCCAATACCGGAACTTGGTGACAAAAACCCTAACCTATGCTTTGACAACTCAGGGTCAGACACGGAGGAGGAGCAAGCAGCTTTTGTAAAGGAGGTTGAAGCTTTTTACAAGGAGAAGAACCTTGAATTCAAGCACCCTAAGTTTTATAAGGAGGATATAAATTTGCTCAAGTAAGCCTTTTCAAGTTTAAATGTTTGTGGAAACTGTTTCTCTTTTCTTCTTCTTTCTTTTCTTTTCTTTTTTTTTTTTTAAAGAAAACCTTTATGGTAACCATTCTGCTCCTTTTCATTTGACTAAAGATTATGGAGAGCTGTCATCAAATTGGGGGGCTATGAACAGGTTCGCCTTAAATTCTTGATTTTTCATTTCCTTATAGATTTCCTGTCCTACCTAAAAGCTCTCTCTTTCTCTCTCAGCCTTATATATTCTGCAATTTCATAAAATGCTTGTACATGTCATTAAAGGGTGACTAGTTTAATTGAAAGTATAAAACTAAAATCGAATAGCATATCAATCTTTTGATTTTTGTTGGTAGTATGTGGTTTTCCTGATTCTGAATTCCAAGGTGACGCCTGTATATGGAGGATCTGCATGTGCAAAACTTATTGCTGTCCTTGACATTGAGTTGTTGTAGTTAATTGGTTTGACCCAACTGGAAAACTGTGGTTAATTTAGTTTTTTTGTTTATTTATAGTATTCTAGTGAATCATTCATTTGGTTCATAAGGTTAAGAATAAGACTATTGTGGACTTGTTTAGTTATTGGTGTTGTGGACTTTGTAGGTGACCTCATGCAAATTGTGGAGGCAAGTAGGAGAATCATTTAATCCCCCAAAGTAAGGATAACTCTACTTTCATGTTCATGTCTGTCTTCTAGCTTAGTGAGCAATTTCCATGACTTAAGTACAGAAAACCTGCATTTTCCTGATTTTAAAATTAACTTTTTCAATTGTTGGTGATTTTTAGACTTTGTCTTATGTATGGGAAATCTTTTGGTTTAAAAAATTTATATATGCTAGCTCAGTTTTTTTGTTGTTATGAAATATGAATATATTTTGTTAATGAGGCACCCCATTGTCCTTTTCCCATGGTGATGGCTAATTTTCTTGCTTTAGTTACATTATACAATTTATTTATTTATTTGTTTATTTGGTGTAGGACCTGCACCACTGTATCGTGGACATTCCGTATCTTTTATGAGAAGGTTTTGCTCCTGTTGATTAAAAGAACACAGACATACTATGTCAATTAATGCCCCAAACCCCTCCCCTTCCTTTGTCACCTCTAACTTTTATTTTCTTTATTTGTCATTTTGAGATGTGGTTCTCCTTTAATTTGGTTCCATCAATTTACGCAGGCACTGCTTGAGTATGAAAAGCATAAAATACATGGTGGCGTACTCCCCCATTCAGATGCTTCTTTTATTGAGCCTAATGGGGTTGAAAGTCAGGTAAACTCTAATAATTTTAATGCTTGCTAATCAGCTTGGCATAGCATATTTGTTTCATTGTCAACATGAATGTTGTTTGTTGTAGCCATATCTTATGTTTATCACATTTTCTTTCATGTAATATATTCCTGTTTTGTGTGAGATTTTGGCTATTACACAAGCGGAAGTTGTCTTGAATTGATGATAACTTGCTAAGAAAATGTGCATCTTGTAATCAAAATGGTTATTGAAAGTAATCGTTGGTTCCTAAGTTGATAAGAGGGAGCAGACTGGAAATCATTGAGGTAGATCTTCCCTTTAAGGCATGCTTTAATTTTCACCATGGCACATGTTATATCCATTGGGGATAGAGATTTTAAAGGAGAAGGGAGTAGAAGATGGAGAAGCTTTCACAAGTCCTGGAAAAAAATTCCGTAGATATATTAAGAGTAGCAAGGGGGTATTGCAATATGTAATTATACTGGCATGTTAGTTGTTTTGACATCTAGATTGTCCTGTGCACTAACATGATAGATAAGTCCAGTTTTGCACAAAATGACAAAATTGATGCTTGTTGGTGGTCGAAATTATGGTGTTCATGTTAAGTTAAATGCCAGGAGTTCCTAACCATAATCTTATTCTTTGTCATATGAATTGGAATTGGATTTGACAAGCATTTTTCCACATTAACTCACTTACCTAATCATTTGCACGGCTAGCATAAACATAGATCCGTTTTTTTCTTGTCAAGTTTTTAGTTGACTGATATATGAAGTTGTATTAAATTTTTACCAGAACCACATATATGTTATCCAATGATTTCTATGAATCTTGTGTGTAGGCTGGTAGTAATCAAGCTCCTGGATCAGGTAGGGCTAAGAGGGATGCTGCTGCTCGTGCCATGCGGAGCTGGCATTCTCAGCGGGTTCTCGATAATGGTGAGGTCTGTCATCCAATCATCAAGGTTTGTGGAGAACTTCTAAGCTATATGCATTTACTATTTTGTTTAGTCTTTTCTCTTTTGTCCCTTTCATCTGCCCTGATCTCACTGTTTTCATGCAATGTTTTCAAATTTCCTAGGACAAGAGCTCTAGTCCTACACCCAAAAGTGACAGACAACTTAAAAATTTTGGTATTACTAATATGCTGGCCTAGCAATTCAGCTACTATAATTGCAAAAATTGTCTTTATTTCTAAGACTAGGTCATTGCCCCAGGTTTATTAAAGCGTAAAAAGCCATCCACTCCGGAGCATGGTGTCCGAGTTACTCAACCTAAAGCAACAAAACCACAGTTACGATTGCTGGTTTCTTGTTCCTAATTTTTTTCCCATTTTTTATAATGTATGGAACATTATCTTGAGTTTTGAAGGTGCCGAAACTAGGCATTCTTTTGGCAGGTTGGATACTATGGTTATTGATATTGGAGTGCCAGCTGATTGGGTCAAGATTAACGTGCAAAAAACTGTAAGTCTTTCTCTAGAGTTATTCTTAGGACTGTGATACATCATTACTATCTATGAATCTCTCTCCCTCTCCTTCTCTCTCTCTCTCTCTCTCTCTCTCTCTCTCTCACAGATTGACTGCTATGAGGTATATGCTTTGGTTCCTGGGCTTCTGCGTGAGGAGGTTAGATGTTTCTAGATGATTCTCCTCTTCTTATTTCATATATACTAGTAGTATTTCTGCTTTTACACTTGTATGATTTTTGAGAGGTAAATCCTACACGGAAGAGAGATTTCATTCTTGCAGAACAGATAAATGTTGCAGATGGAATAGTAATTTTTCTACAATGGAACTTAACTAGGAAATCTGTTTGGTTACTCAAGTGATTTACTTCCTGGTCATGGGCGTAAGGAATGAAGGCTAAGGTAATAGTGGGTTAGGGGAACACTTAAGGCTGTCCAATGAAGTAACAATGGAAGAATACATTCATCTAGGTCTTGGTTGGGAGTCTATAGGGACTTGTTTTAGGCTTGGGCTAGGCGGACTTTAATTAGTGGCCTAACCGATGTATGATTAGATGCAACCAATTAGGTTAATAGAGTTCTAAATGTGATAAGTTTGCATTAGTCTAGCTGTTATAAATACTACTGGATATTTTTAGTGAATTGCCTAAAGAGATTGATTGCAACTAGCTAAGTAGATTAACCCAGACATCTATTTTTTGGTAAGGTTTTTAAATTTAGCATAGATGAGCAACCTGATAAGATTTGCATCAATTGCTGAATCCATTTTCCTTAAACTTCTGCCTTTGGAATGTCTTTTATTGTGGTTGAGAAATTACCATATATGCTTAAATGAATCAGGTGCATGTTCAGTCTGATCCAGCAGGACGCTTGGTTATATCTGGTCAACCAAAGCAACTGGATAATCCTTGGGGTGTCACACCCTTTAAAAAGGTTTGTCTTAGTTGATGAAATTTCAATAACGTGTGGGATGTATGATCTGTTTGAATATTGCAGCATGATTAGGTGATTCTGAAAGTCACTCATGCCTATGCTGTCTGCATCCACTGTTGTTTTTTTCTTTCCCAGAATGCCATAGAAATTCATGCTAATGGTAATTGTTGGACATTTTTTTTATAGAAAATTTTTTGACATTGGAATAGTGTCAAATAGAATTGAAATTTGTACTGGTACGGTTCCCATTTATGTTGTTTTCTGTCCTATTGAAATAATAGCATCTTTTAAGAATATTATTACTGGAATCGTATCATTGTTCCGATAATAGTTTTTCGTGCGTGCATTATTGATACGTGCTTGTGTCCAGGTTGTCAGCCTGCCTTCTAGAATTGATCCGCATCAGACTTCTGCTGTGGTTACCCTGCATGGTCAGTTGTTTGTGCGCGTGCCGTTCGAGCTGCCTGATGAATAGGTTGTAGTTTTTACCTTTTTTATATGTAGAGATTTCTCTAGGTTGAAGTCATCTGACATCTAATTCTGCAATGCACTGCACAAATTTCTTGATTAGTTTATGCTCACAGCTGATTCTCAAGCCAATCTCCAGTATTTGTCATGGCTCTCTCTCTCTCTCTCTCTTTTTTTTTTTTGGGGGGGGGGGTGTTGGAAGTGATGATGATTTATCTGTTTTGGGGACTTAATGATCTTCAATTGGGTGAATTAATCTAGAAAAAGCAAAAATGAATTATGTGAATATGACTGGATATTGGATTGTGTTCCAATGCATGGACGGATTGATAGTAACAATGGCAGGGGAAATGGCATCATTCATGATCTTCCTTAAAATGTTATTTATAGGTTCCGGAGGTGGTAATTGGGTTGAAAGTATTGGATTTGGGTCGGGTCACTTTGGATTGGGTAATTTTGAGTTGAAAATTTTTGGGGTGTTTTGGATTTGGGTTATTTTGAGTTTAAGTTTCGGTCTTTTGGGTTTGATGTTTTGATTATTTGGATTCGGATTATTTTGAATAAAAATTATTGAGTTTTAAAATCAAATAATTTCAAGTTATTTCGATTAATTTTTTGATTGTTGGGATTTGAATTATTTTGAATTAATTTTCATTTTCATGTTGGATAGATGGAGTTTGGATTGTTGAATTTTTTTTTTTTTAATTAAATTGGGTTGAGTCACATTTGGATTCAAGCAGGTTGAGCTGGTTCTTTGAGTTTGGGTCAGCTTTGACAGCTTCATTTGATTTAATATTGAAAACTTGAAATTAGACAGGATTTTCCAGGACTCGTAAAATTTTAAGGGTACTTGCCTGCTGCAAATCTGCGTGAGAGCCAGTGCACTTACAGAATTTGGACTACCTATCTTAGGTTCCTTACACAACATTTTCTTTTAAAGAACGCTCACCGTATATATATTTACAAGAATATAATAATTACATTTTAACAGTTCTATGAATTTTTCCTTTGTCAGCAAATTGAGTGGTTATTACTCAAATCATCCATTAGAAACTATTCTATCTTTTATCATTTTTCTGTAGTTTTTTGTTAAAAAAAAAAAAGAAAAAATCCTTCATTGTTTTACCTTTCTATTGTACATACATTAGAAATTTACGGAATAATACCAGTGAAGTGATCTCCGCTTTCCTTCCATGTAATCTTGTTGAGTTTCTTGAACAGTTGTGGCCTCAAAAATTCACTGGCATCAACAGAAATTGTTGATTCTTTTATTCTGGAAAACATACAATTATATTCTGTTCTGCTCAAGGGAATTCAAAAGTACTTCCTCCCACCCCGTCAGATTGGGCTGCGCTCCCTGTAGAAGGGTTGATGGCAATCCAGAGCAAGGAAAGTGTGATGGCAATGAGACCGGACCAAACAAAGACAATTGTGGGTGTCTTGCTCCTTCTGCCCATCAAACCCTTGGCAAAAGGATATAAATGAGCCAACACCCAAAAGCTGAAGAAAGCTCCTCCTATGAACTTACTCCATTGTGGTACTGAACTGTAAACAGTCCTTGAAAACGCAATCACAATGGCGACGATGTTTATCATGGCGATTACAATCGGTGGGATCATCAATGAAGTCCACTTCACCAGGTACAAATCTGCATAGATGTCATCCTCGTCTTCTCCTGCTGACTTTGAAGTCAATGTGAAAGAGATTTCAATTCCTGCAATCACTTTAAGAAGACCTTGTACGCATGCAGCCAAGTGAGAACTGGTTCCAGAGATGAGCCAAAACTGTTCATTCCTCCACCACTCTTCCAATCCAATGCCCGACCATTTCACCTCTAGGATTGCTAGCGAGATGAGGCAAATGGTTATAATTAATAGGTAGACCAAAAAAGTGATGTTTAATGTTTTCACGATGAACTGTCCGGAGATAAGTGAAAGTGCAGGGAGAAAACAGTAGACGATGAGGAAAAGCGACGTAAAGGGATAGATGCCGACATTAAGATAAGCCAGGCGCTGTAGTAACTTGAGACGCCGGGAAGCAAGCAACGCGTTGTTTCTCGAGAAGAAAATTTCAACTGATCCCGTCGCCCACCGCAGCACCTGGTGAAGTCTATCAGTAAGGTTAATTGGAGCTGATCCACGAAATGCGTCGCGCTTGGTGATGCAATAGATAGACCGCCAACCGCGATTGTGCATGCGGTAGCCTGTCACAACGTCTTCTGTGACTGAACCATAAATCCAACCTACTCGGTCACCCCATTCTGTCTTGTCCTCGTACCTGTTGGGGAAAAATATGGTTTCATCATTTCACTTGAGGGATATTTGTTTTGCGATGTTATTTGGTCTGTCTGTTGATTGGTTTTTTTAAGGATTTATAGTGCAATATTAACAATTTATCAGGATAATCAGGGTTGTTTAAAAGAAGTGCTTACCAGCAAGAAATGACGGAGATAGCTTCAGCTACAGTAGCGGCATCAAGTGGTTCACGTGGGATCCTGAGAGCACCGGGAGGCCTTCCAAACTTGATGGCAGGATGATCAGCAATGGGACGGCCCCGGAACTCACAGACTGGTATAGACTCCGCCAGCAACGTAGAATTTCCAAATCGCTTCGGCAATAGAATTACATCAAGATCAGGATCAAAGTCACTGGTGGTTAATGGTTGCGTTTCGCTCTCTTTTGCCTGAGTCATTCTATCAGGATTTGGAGGATCGAACCCATATAATGCAAACCGCCTGAACATGCAGCCAGTTCCCACATAAACAGGGCCCTGCAGAGGTGATGTTTCATTTTTAGACAATTTCTGATATAGATTCCTTGAAATATAGTGCTTATAGTTTGTGCGTAATGAAAGAGAAGAATACCTGCACACCATCAAGGGCACGCATGTTACCATCAAAAAACACGGTGTTGTGATTAGCGTAACGATCAGAAGGATCAATGCCTTCAAATCTCTGAGGGAACTGAATGTAGCAGATATCTTCGCCACCTCGATCCATCATAAAGCACATTCCTTCGCGAATAGCTTTGCAATTGTATATATAGTGATCGCAATCAAGGTTAAGAATGAATGGACCGTTTGACAAAATAGCTGATGCTCGCACCAAAGCATTCATTGCACCTGCTTTCTTGTTGTGATCATAGCCCGGACGCTTCTCTCGTGATATATAGACAAACATGGGGAGCCGTATGTCTACATCAGTGAAGTCTAAGAGCTTATCCTCGCCATTTCCCATAAGTGGATTATGACTAGGTGGCTTCAACATCACCTATTCGTTTTTGGCCATCGCCAATAAGCATTCATGCTTCATCTTATTAGTAATCATGCAGGAAATTGAATCTAAAGACTGAAATAAAAGCATTTTGTATGTGTAAATACGTTTTGGCATAGTGTATGCGTACCTGTAGAATTCCAGCATGGTCCCCCTTGGAATGTTCACTGGAAGGGACAGCCCAAGTTCCAGGCCAATGGGTGCCATCAGCCATCCATGTGGCCTTTAGGACCTTTGGTTTCTCCAAAGGGTCAGCCCCGGTCTCCCTGAGGTGCTTTAGCATCTTCATTTCCTCTCTTGCATTGAATGCCTCTGATCTCCTTCTGATTGAGTCAGGAAGCCCGTTGATCCTCACCTTGAACTCATCATACTCCCTCTTCACCCTCCTCCTATCCTTCACAAAGTCGGACCTGCTCTTGTTCTTAGTTGGATCAACTTTTAAGTTGAAGTACGAATCAGGATTCCTAGGCTCGATATCATGTTTTCGACAAAATGGAACCCATAGATCAGCAAAACTAGCAGCCTCTGCCATTGCCTCAAAGGTGAGGAGAGCGCCTCCGTCATCAGAGATATAACACGCTACCTTTTCTACAGGATAATCAACTGCTAAAATAGAAAGGATTGTATTTGCGGTGACGAGGGGTGGCTCCTTCTCCGGATCTGCAGTGGATACAAACAGGTCAACCCCAGGAAGGTCAGAGCGGCCTGTTGGATTAGATGGTGACGGTAAGTCAAACTTTTCATGGAGGACCTCAAGATCCGTGGAACGGTTGATTGGACAGAGTTTAGGAACCTGATCAAGGATCCAGGAGAAGGCAAACCATAATTCACACACAATTGACATGAGCCACAACCATACTGCATCATCATTTGGATGCATCACTCTCCAGTGCAAGAAGAAGGCCAGCACCACCAATCGAGTTACAATCAATAGCCTATATAAACGATTAATAATCGGTTAATTTATTGCTTTTTTTTTAATCTTAATAACCCTACAAAAGCACATTTCTCAATACCACATCCAACTGTATTTCTCTATTATCATTTCCATTTCCATTCGAGCATACTAATCTAACAATCTTTCCCTCATTCTTCTTCTCAAATAAGATAGCTAAGAACAGAAACTGAATTTACATTATACCTGTAAGGGCTAAGGATGGCTGCAGGGATTGGAATCGTCCTACTTAGGGGCTTCCAAGGCTTATCATTGTTCTCCAAGTCCCCATGGAGTCTTTCATCCTCATCATCACCATACATGTCATCTTGAGGCCGATAAGCATTACCATAGCCATAAGTACCACTTGTCTCGAACAACCACCTGTTGTGATCGAAGTCCCCTCCTTGATTCCTTTTCATCATGGACATATTATTAGAATCCTTTTTACCATTTGGAGCAGGCAATTTTAACGTTCCATTGGAATATTCTGGCCCATCATCGTCATAGTCTCCGACTCTGTATGGTTCCTTGCAACCTGGACATAGACCTGTGTCTTTTTGAGCATCCATGTAGCAATCTCTGCAGATTTTGAACCTGGAAAGTACAGTATAGTTATTTGTTTGTGATCAAAATGAAATATGCATAGGCAATTTTTTTGAAAAGTAATCTCGGTTTTAGTTTATAAAAGATAAAAAGTAAAGTGGTTTTGTTTTAGAACATACCTGCATTCACAGGGCGTTATATCATTTCCTCTCTCATCCTTCATGATCTTGCCATCACAAGCAGGCATGGAACATGAGGCCCCCTTAGCTCCAGCCATCTGAGGATGAGTCACCTCTGAATCAATCACCTTGTCCATCAGATGGGCTCGCGTCACGCTATTGAAACCCCCAGTGAAGAGAGAATTTGAAACGTATTGCTCCTCGGCCTTTGCAGCTACACTAGAATATTCCATGGGCTGATTGTCTGGCGTGGGAGGAATGTGCACGGTGTAGTTCATGAAATCTCCCGATAGCTCTCCTGACACGTCAATGTCTTCTCTTGATAGACTAACATACCGGCCACTTGAAGTTCGTCTAGCAAATTTTACAGTCTGTCCGTTGGAATTACGTGACCCGCCCTGAGAGTTGCTAGAACCACCAGGGCTACGCATTCCCTTCTTAGATGGTTGGGAAGATAGAGATGCCATTGTTATTTGATTGAAATTTCCTTTCCCTATCAATGCTTCATGCCCTGACGTAATCGTGTTTTTATGACATTTGCATTAAAACTGATCTCTGAACCATTGCATTTCCGGGATGGCAAACACTTTTCACTCGGTTTGCCTTGATAGTATTCAAGGCAATTAAGCTCAATTTTGATGCCTGGAAATGTTGTGTTTGGAGAAGAAAGGGAAAGGCGAGGGTATAAGGCGGAAATGTATGTAAAATCAAAATGATTCAACTTGAATAGATAGAGGATGGATCAAGCAATTGTGACCATTGATAATGTTGGGACCAAATTCGAATTTGATATAAGAGAAAGAGATGAGAAACGAAGGGAAGAAGGATGGATTGATGGTGGGAGACCAAGTCCAAGGTAGATGGTCCGTTTTACGAGTTTCAAGAAGATTTTTTCATGGAGGGAAGTTCACGTGTCTGAAGATTTTGCTCCGTAGATGTTTGTGTGGGTTGTTGGCCATCATTACTTCTTGTTAATTTGGTTAAGTTATGTTCAGTCGGTTGTTTTCCTGTGCCCAAAGCCTCCAAGTCAGTATTCAGTCTGGTCCGTTGTAAATAGTAAATAATATATATATATATATATATATATATTAGAATTTGTTAAATTAACTATTTTATCTTTAATTAATAATTTTCTTATTAAATTTAATTATTGATTTCTTTAAATTTATTTTTATTAACATTGAAGTCTTATCTCCTTAAGTGATTTTTTTTATTAAATTAAATATTCATTAATTTTACTTTTTTATATCCTTTCTAATCTTGAACTTTTTATTAAAATAAATTATTATTATTCTATATCAAAAACTAAAATTTTTATTTCATTAAATCATTAAATAACCTTTACGTAACCGACTCTAATATAAAAGAAAAGTTCACAAAATAAATTAACCATGACGTCCATTAAGGTTCTTCTATGATTGGGAGTAGTTTAACATATGATAGAATTTCTTTTTAGCATAGGGATCATTTACACTGGTGTAAGACAGTAAGTATTACATTCTTTTTTAATTTTTGGATTAAAATTAAATTTGTAACCATTAAATCTTAATTATTTTAATTCAAAAATAAAAAATATAACACTTATATTAGTATAAATAAATCCTGCTCTTATCCCTCGAAGTTGCAATGATCAATGATGTATGGGCCTAGTGGCTGCATTTCTTGAATAAATTTAATCCAATATGCACATGCAGTGGGCATAGCCCCATAGGATTGGACGAGCAAGCAAAGGTTTAGTAATTCACTTGACAGACAGTAGCACTAGAAAATGGTTAATAGGAGAGGAAAGCCTGCAATTAAAGATGGCGTTAATGGTAATTGTATGTATGATCATGATAGGAAACACTTTCATTTCAGCAAGATGGATCAAGCAACAAAATATACTATAAGTATATAACCCTATACATACTAGAAGTTTTAATGTTTCTAAATTTATTATTGGTAAAAAGACAATCCATTTGCAATTTTTCCTGGATCTTGGCCAAGAATTTTCAATAAAATTAATGTCTTTTAGATTTGATCGTATTTTATATATATTGTTTGCAATTTTTTTTCACTGCAATTTTCTTTATATATGTTAATTATTATATATTTAGGTCATATTTGATATATAAGACGATAGATAAGATAAGATAATAATTATTTTATATTATGTTTGATTTATATATAAAAGAATTGATAAGATACAAACATGATTAATTATTTTTTTGGTATAGGATGATTCAATCTTTCCAAAATGGAAAGGATTATTTTTTAATTCATGAAATTAAATTTACATATTTTATTATACTCTTAAAAATTATATTAATAATTTAAATTGTATAAATTTTGAAGAAGAATAATTTTGACTAATAAATAAATTATTCTATCTTAATCATTGTGTCACGGGTCGAGATTCAACCTCTAAGCTCGTGTGACTCTAGGATCCGGGTATGCACTCATTCAATGTATCGGATTAGTCTGATTGTCACGATTTACACATTTGTGAGGTATTGTCCGCTTTAGCCCCTTAGTTTTGTCATACAAAAAGTATCTTACAAGGAAGAAGTGTCCCCCTTGGAGCGCTTGTCGTGACATTCTCCCCCATCCAACCTCGTGACGCCCTTGTCACGGATGTTAGCCACCCTGCTTACCCCCTCGAAGTGCTTGACGTGGGTTAAATGGTTAAGGGCCTGCTCTGATATCACTTGTCACGGGCTGAGACTCAACCTCCAGGCTTGTGTGGCCTAGGACCTGAGCATGCACTCATTTGATGTCTAAGATCAGCCACCTGTCACGGTTTAAATCATTGCGAGGCATTGTCCGCTTTGGCTCCTCTGACCTTACGATTTTGTCTCACAAAAGGCACCTTACAAGGAAGAGGTGATATGAACGCTTCTATAGCCCAGTGACTTCCCTTTTCATGTCAGGTGTGGGATTAGAATATCCTGCCTACTTTCTTTTGGAGCGCTTGTTGTGACATTTTCTCTAACTTGTGTATTCCACCTTTCTTGTTTACTCGCACGCTAGTTGCATAGCCTAAACTTAGGCACACGGAGTTAATTCTAAGCCTTAAAGTCGCACATATTCAGGCTTAAATCCAGAGCTTATATACTTACACATATCAAACATAAGAGAAGATAACATTATTTGATATAATTTTATTCATAATATTATTTTATTTTATCATCATAATTTAATGTACTAAACACACTTTATGACATAAAGATAAAAAAAATTCTCAAACAAAAATTTAATAATTATTTAAGTGTATGATATTTTATTACTTAAACCCTTAAATATTTTTTTTCATTCAATTAAATTTTTAAATATCTATTTTTACCCAATTAAGTTCTCAATTGGATGAAAATAATTAATCAATTTTTCTCTAATAAGAGTTCAAACAGTCAAAATAGATGTTTGAAAATTTAATTGATTGAAAAAAAGCTTTAAAACTTAAATAATTATTAAATTTTAATTCAAATTTTTTTTATCGTTTTACCTATATTTAATCTAATTAAATATTATGTTAAAAAAAATCTAGTCAAATATTAATTGCTGTGTCACTAATGTCACAGTAAATTAAATTTGTTATTCTCTTTTTCTCTAACTACTGCGTTTGGCTCTTTTTCATTTATTTATGGGAAATGTTATGTGCGCTCCTTAAAAGCACTTCTTGCAAACATATAATATTTTTTTAACTTAAAAATGCCATATCATTTACTCCTAAATTTCTTTTAGTTTTGTTGTTTTAAGCTTCAGATATTTTTCTTTGCTTCAAAGGATAAATCCCTTCCTTGAGTTATTTTTCATTTAACTCGTACTGATAATATTAGCACAATAAATGTTATCAACAAAGCTTCGTCACATCTCAATTGGCATGAAAAATAATTTATCACCCTCCTTTAATTCAGAAAAAAAAAATTTGAAAGAAATGAATAATCAAACAGCTAATAAGATATAAAACCAAGTAATTATTAACAAAGCTTCGTTGATGAGGACGAGTCAAACCGATTGAACCAACCACTTGTTGGTAAATATTACATTATATCAAAAGAAAACAAAAGAAGCTATAAAGTTCCAAGAAGACCATGTACCAACCATTTATACTTCTCCATTTTCAATGTTGTAAAGCCCCAAAAACTAGCTATTCTCCTTTTCCCAATTTTCGGAATTAGGGTTTTTTTTTTATGCCATAGTGAGCTACTACTCTATAATATATATACTACTACTCTATAATATATATATATATATATATATATATATAAAATTTTTTTAGTATAGATGAGACTGTAACTTGCGAATAAAAAAGATATTATAAGTATTAGGATTTGAGTCTTTAATTTACTAAATGTCACATCTTAAAAATGATTGTTTAAATCAAGTGAACTATATTATAATTTGTACCATATAACCAATTAAACAAATGTATTTAATTCTAATTCAAAAAAATGTAATTAATTCAAGTTTTTCATATATATATATATATATTTGTTTTAGAATATGGCAAACTTTTTCTTTTCTTCTCTTTCAAGGGAATACATTAACTGAGAAAGGGACCTTTCTATACTTCTCCAAAGTTTTCAATGAATAAAGCAAAATCAACCGAGAGAGGTGAAGGAGAGAGCTTGCATGTTAACCAATTGTAAAAGAAGCTATGCCTGTATCTTCCCAAAGGAGGGTGGATCATCGAAACAAATAAACAAATTAGAAGATTTAACTGAATAATTAGCAAAAGAATATGTTAAATATTCAACATAAAAAATGCACACATAGACGAAAAGAATGATGAATTAATGGAAATTCATATGCCAACTAATAGTAGTTCCCCCCCCCCCCCAATTATTTCGTATATCCAGTTTTAACATTATAATTCCTGTTTTAGTGATATTTGTTTTTAATTCATGTAGCAAATTTTCTCAAAAAAAAAAAAATCATGTAGCAAATAAATCAATGTGTGTTAGTTTTCTTCAATCTATAGTAGAGTAATTAATAGCAATTGGATGGGATTAATTAATAGTAGATAACCCTAGAAATATATATATGCATTAATTGGCTATAATTTCTTTCATAAAACCTCTACTGTTATATATATATATATTAACCATGTTTGGAAGGAGAAGAAATTCCCACAAAAGAAAAGGAAAGGAAAAGAAAAGAAAAGACATAAATGGAAAATGCTGTCAGAATGTTTTGTAGTTTGTATAATAACTCAGACTTACTGATGGATCATTCTTCAGGCTTCAGCCTTCAACCGAGATTCATTGTTTTGCAGCCATCGACTTTGCTTCCTGAAGGACTTAATCTTTTTCCTATGGAATACAATTCCAATTTATAATGAAACTAAATCGAGATACCCCGGATGACTTTTCTTGATCATATCCGTAATCCTATGATGAAAAACTAATCCAAAACATATAAACATTGCACTTGATTTTAGGAATAAATAGTGAAGAGACTAGAAGGAAGGCCTTGTTGCAGTACCACTCCAACCGAATACATCAACTGGAAAAGGATAACTTTCCACGTTCGCTCCCAAATTATAGAAAGGAAAACCTCCACCACCAGTTCCACTAGCGTCACCACTGTTGCCGCCACTGCCTCCATCACCCAATTGCCCTCCCCCACTGCCTGTCACTAAAGATGACTGTGAAGCTGCTGGGTGTACCTGCACTGCTGGCTCTTCCTCCTCGAGAGGCAACCTATCATAAACTGCATTTGCAAATGATGCAGCCATTAATACAACTGGACCTGAAGCCATCAATGGACCCCCTACGCTCCCTCCTACTACTTGACCCTGACCACCAGCAAGATAAATAGTCAAGCCACCAGCTCCCGGAGGCGCTGGTGGTGGAAGAGAAGAACCAGTTAAAGACAGAATCTCGAACCGCCCATGTAACGTTATGACACTTCCAGCCGGAGCAGCTGGTTGCCGCAATGTAACATTTGTGACAGCCCCAGTTCCACTGAGTACACAAACACCCCGCCCACGGCGCCTTGCATAGTTTGATACTGAATCAACTATATCTGAACCAGAAGAAATTTCAAGTACATGGGATCTCAGCGCATTTGGACTGTCGCGAGTAATGATTATTGGTGGTTTGGGTTTGTTCTTCGAGCCTGCCGGACGTCCTCGAGGCCTGTGTCCTGAAGTGTTACCTGCGTCTGAACTGGTTGTGGCTCCACCAGGATCAGTTCCTTCTTTCTCTGGTAAGTGTTTAGAATCCCTGAGTTGAGATGCGTTGAGTTGGGTTTGTGGTGATCTTTGGAGCTGCAGTTCTGGTGCTAGTAGCTGATGGACATAGCGAGAACCTGTACCTGATTCCAAACCAGACATCTCCAAAACCCACTTGCCACTAGCTCTAATATCCAACTTCGATCTGATCTCTGTTTAAAAGGGACATTCAAGAGAATAATTGGTAAAGGGAAGTAGAAAAAGGGAAAGGTTTCAGCTACCTGCTCTACGTTTTAAAGGCTAGGTTTTTTCATGATGAAGTGAAATAGTTTCCTTGACAAATAACTGTGGCGGACAGAGATTATCTAAAGCATAATATGGAAATTATAGTATTTTTCTTTTTGATTATACTGATTAAATGTCATCTTTCTTCTTTGTTTCTGCAGGAATTCAAATTAACAACAATGAAATTAACTCTAAGAAGATCAAATTTCTTGGAAGCTAATATATGTTAGAAATTAATTGCCATTAAAAGCTTGAAAGTAGATGCATGAAGTTTGTGTTCATACCCAGATCCAGATCTTTGCAAGGAAGAAAAGGATGTGGATATAGAAAACTAATAATAATGATTAAGGGATGAAAAGAAAAAGCAAAACCCACTTCATTGACTGCATGTAGATATCAACTATAAAACTAAATCAATGAAATTTTTTGTTGAGAAACTGTGTATTATTTTATATACTGATACAATTATTTTTATTCATTACCTCAAAATATATGGGTTTGTGGGTTTGAATGTCTGAAAACCAAGCTTCGAACAGAGTGGATTCAAGGAGACTTGAGTTTTTTTTTAGGGAAAAGAAAGTGGCAAGAAAAGAGAGAGAGAGAGAGACCAGCTTCGTTTCATATTAAAGCTAAAGATAAAGAAGGATGCTTCGTTGACAAGGAAGGCATGAAACTTTCTACGCATTTGTTGAACAGAACCAAAATTAAAATATATTATATATATTTTTGGGTAAATAAGAAGTTATAATCTGCAAATAAAAAAATTATAAATATTAAGATTAAAATTTTAAATTCGCTAAATGTTAATTTTTAAAATTAATTGCATGAATCAATAAAATTAAATTTTAAATTTAATTAAAATATAAATTAATGCAAGTTAATTTAATATCCATAGAAAAATATATATAAACTTTTTTTTAGCTAGTTTAGTATTTAGGTAGGAACATATAAGATCCAAATCAACTTAAAAAGTCTTATTTGGTTATTTCTATTTATCAACTATCAAGTATGAAATTTATTATTATTTAAATTTTTTTTTTTTATATTTAAGATTGTCAAGTATTAAATTCTAATAACTAAAACTAACACTTAGAACACTACACAATTATTATTAAAGCTTTTGTTTTGGGTAAAAGGTTGAAAATCATATAATTAACTATTTCAAAATAGAAATATACAACTAATTAACAGTAGTATAAGGATTTGCACTTGGTAATTTAGTAAAAGAATCGCTAATAAAAGAGTTCCCCATTTATCAAATGTCAAAAATTTATGTTTCTACCAAGTTTCTCTTTAATGATAACTAAAAAGTTAAATAATTATAATATTATCATATTATATTAAATTGATACATGACAAAATATAGCTTTTCTTTTGAAAAATCAAATAACTTCACTTTTTTTTTTTTCTTTCTATCATCTCACACTTCATTATTGATGTACAAAATAATTGTAAATTGAGTGATCTATTATCTTAAGAACTTAAACTAATAGAAAAGAATCCAACTATTATCTTCAAGTTTTAATGTGTTTTTTAATATACAAACCAAATGAATTATTAATAGATTGGTACGGGATTTCAAATATTAAAAAATGCAAAATAAAAAATTAAAGAAATATTGCACAGTCCAATAATCAGCAAATTAATAAATGAAAAAAAATGAACAAACACTTTTTAAAATTCAAACTTGAGTATTATAAAATCATGTTAAATACTCAGCTGTTATATTTAAGTTGAAACAATAATAATGCATAAACAAATCAATTATGAGTTTGACAATTAATTAGGGCATTGTACAAGGTTTGCTCTAGAAGTACATATATGACCTCAATCTACATGAACAAGATCATATAAATCCATTTATGGCAAAATAAACAAAACAAATTGTACTTAAATGAAATTCTTAATTTAAACACACCTAAACACCTAAATAATCTGACCAATTAAAAATATTCATTGGACTTGCTATCCATTGACCAAACAAATGGTGGCAGACGAAAGATATATTGTGGCTGATGTATCTGGAGAAGGTTCTTTCTGCAGGTTCAGGACTGAGAGTGACTGACGACACCAAAGTCAAATGCAGCATGGACAAGACGCCTGGCCAAACCTATCAAACACGTGAGAAGTATCGGGTACATTGCAACTTGCCAGTAGCTAATCTTTATCCTTTTCTTTTTGTTTCCATATTTTTTACGGATTCAACATATTAATAATAGTATAATTAATATATATTTAGTACATGTAGATTTAATTAGTTGTTGTACAGCTCATATCAGTGACGGCGGATGGCCCCATAATTATAGCTAATTCGACCAGCCCTCCACCATGTCAAGAGGCAGAACCCCGAAACTCAGGGCTTTGCAATAAAAGACCTCCCCTTTCTCCCAACACCTGACCATTTTCTTTTCTCTAATTTTGCAATATGACCAAGAGGTGAACATAAATTTTGCAAATATCTTTGAAAGTTCACTTGAATTGTACATTTTCTCTAATAATGATGTTTTCTAATTTAATTGTTTTTTATAAAAGAAATTTTAATCTGAAAAAAAATATATAGATGTTGAAATTTTAATTTCAAATCCATTTAATATCATTTGAATGAATCAGTTTTTAATTTATTTATACTATATATATTGTTGCATTTAACTGTTTTTACAAAGAAAAGTGTAAAAAGGATATAGAATTGCGCAAGTGTTTAAGGAATATGGAACGTTTCAGAATCAGACTCTATGTTCAATTCGATCGATTAAGTTGTGAACTTAATCAACTAAATTGTATAAAAGCTGAGACTTAATTGATTAAGTTTTCAACTTAATTGATTAAGTTTTAATATAAAAGAGAATTTGCTCTAATTGGGTAAAAAAAAAAAACTATTATTGGAACAAACTTAATCAATTAAGTTTTCTAAAATTTTGAAAAAGATGTCCGTTAGTCAAAGGTATAATTTCATTTCAAAGTTTGCTATTCTTCAAGAGGGAATAAGTGTTTTAAGCATCAATTGAGGCCTATGAAAATAAACCATGTTTTAACACCTCTTTACATACAATCTCTTCTACAATAGGCAATTCTCTCTCTCATATTTTATGGTTTTGTGTCATGCATGTTCAAGAGAAATTGCAATCTTGTTCTTAACATTTTCAAGAGTTTATTTGCACTCTATTTGATCCAGCTGAAGCTTTTATAACAAGTGTTGTTCGAGTAAAACTGTTTTAAAAATGTTGTAAAAATAAACTAAAATAGTATTTGACAAACTTAATAAAAAGTGTTTTAAATGTTGAAAACTATTTGATGCTATTTTTTGTATATTTTTAGTAAATAAAAAAAATAAAATAGTCATCTTTATTAAATTAAATCATATATTTTTTCACATATATAATTAAGATCACAAGTTTTTATGTGAAAAAATAAAAAAAATAAAAAGATATTTTTATTAATTAGAATAAAAGACAAATGAAATCACTAGAAATTGGATAAAATAAAAATAAAAGTGAAATAATATATATAATACTCCTTATAATTTTGTGAGTTGTTAAAAAGTAAAGTAAGAATGCAAAAAAAGTTTATTAAATACTTGTTATTAAAAGTATTGCTTCTTTAAGAATCTTTGATTTATAACTTAATCTCAAGTCTCAAATTTGTTTATAACTTCATCTAAAAATTTTAACATTATGTTTGGATAAATATTAATAAAGGAAGGGAAAGGAAATGAAATGAAAGAAAAAGAAAGTTTTTTAAAAGAAAGGAAATGATATATGTACACTTTGTTTGGATAATTAAAATTAATAAAGGAAAAGAAATGAAAGGAATTCTAACAACCATTGTTTGGATAAAAAGTTAAAAAGAAAGGAAATGATTTATTATAATAATTTTTTTCCATTATAACTTTTCATTACCTATGATTTTAGAGCACTTTAAACCATGATATGTTTGTTATTTTGTTTGACCTCACAATTGCTGCTATATCAATGATCTTTAATCAAGTGAAACAGGAAGATATTTTACAAATATGCACTAATTAATGATTGTGAGTTAGTCTTATATCTCATAAATCCAAAAAAATATGTCTATTAATATTCAGGCATTCATCAAAATTAAATTACAAAAAATTATAAAAAATTTTTATATTGGAAGAGACATATGAAATTTACTTGAAAAAGGAGATGATTTTGAAAAAAATTACAGGGATAATTGTGATGTGGTTAGGTTTTTATTTTTTTTACTAGGTTTTTAGTATTAATAAAAAGATGGATATAATTATTTTTTTATAAAAATAAAAAAATTTCAACTTTTTTTTCCTTAGCTTTCTTCCCTAAATTGGGGTATTAAAAAAGTAAGGATTACAAGAAAACTAAAGATTATTGAGTTTTACTTTTTTTTTTATTTAAATTAAAAGTTTATCTAAATAAAGGAAGTGTTTTTCTATTTCTATTACTTTCTTTTATTCTCCTTTCCTTTCCTTTTCTTCCCCTCAATCCAAACATGGTATAAGATTTTGAGAGCCAAACACTTAAGGTCTACTTTTGCAGCAATAAGCTCTTCTGTAAACTGAACAAAAAATCCATATAGTGAAAAACTATTACCTTTTAGATAACCTTTTGAGGGTGTTAAAATTTCTTCTTCATTATCTTTGATTGCATCTTACAACACTATATAAAACACAAAGGAAATTGCAAGAACAATGTTTTCCTTTAATTATTTGTTCACTCTGAAGTCCAACGTTGCAGCTTTATATATATAGAGAGGACTACAAAGATAAAAATGTGCACAGTGCCCTTCTAGTTTTATTTTTCTTTGGCCAATAATTTTCATTATTTATAACAATGTTGATACAAACATGGCCCATTTGTAGTAATGTTCAGCCAAAACCATCGTAT